GAAATTCTCTTAAATTATTTACATAGTTTTTCAAGTATTTTTGTTCTAATATTACTTCCTCAATAACAAGGTTGTGTCCATCACTGGCTAACTGTTTAAACACCCTCGGCATGGAATTAAGAACTTTTTCGCCATAAAAATTAATTTTCACTTCATTAACAAGAAATCCTTGTTCATTCTTTCCGACAACAAATTGTAATCCCTCATTACTTTTTTCACCAAACCCTTTGTATTTTGGAGAAAGGGCATTTCAAAAAGTGCTAAGCGAAAAATTTAATCAAGGTTCCTCGCTTAATTCCATAATTTTTTCAGCAATAGAACTTTTTCCTGCCGAAGAGCAACCGTTTAAAAGAATAATTTTGCTGGTCATCTACAAAGATGATATAAAAAAATAAAAAGTACTGGCAATGAGCTATCTTCCCCATCAAGAGTATTTTCGCCACGAAAGTGCTTGACTTCTGTATTCGGAATGGGAACAGGTATTACCACTTTGTTATAGTCACCAGTACTATATATTAATATTATTTGAATATTTTTATTTTAGCAAATTAATTTTATTCTCTTTCCTCTTCTTCTTCAGTAAACATCATAATAAGATTATAAAGTCCTATTAAAAGGAAAATAATGCCGAGAACTATAAAAACTCCTTTTCCGATTTTGTGAACTAAATTGAAAGTTTTTAGATTGCTATCTGCATTCAGAAAAGAAATTAAAATATCGTGTCAAAAAATTAAGGGAACAAAACTAATTGCTCCGAGTATTAAAAATGTAAAAGTTTTAGTTAATCTTTTTTTATTCATGTTATTATATATATATATATATTATTTTTCTCTCAAAACTGAACGCAAAAAATAAATACCTAAAATAAGTCCTCGATAAATTAGTATAATCAAGCTAAATATATTACTACACTTACACCGATTACCTATCAAACTCCTAGTCTAGAAGTTATCTTACTCCTTTACAGGATGGGAAATCTTATCTTGAAGTTAGCTTCACACTTATATGCTTTCAGTGCTTATCTATTCCCGACATAGCTATCCAGCCGTGCCACTGACGTGACAACTGGTACACCATTGGTCAGTCCACTCCGGTCCTCTCGTACTAGGAGCAGCTCTTCGCAAATTTCCTACGCCCACAACAGATAGGGACCAAACTGTCTCACGACGTTCTGAACCCAACTCACGTACCATTTTAATGGGCGAACAGCCCAACCCTTGGAAGCTTCTTCACCTCCAGGATATGATGAGTCGACATCGAGGTGCCAAACACTTCCGTCGATGTGGTCTCTTGGGAAGTATTAGCCTGTTATCCCCGGGGTAACTTTTATCCGTTTAGCGACGGCCCTACCACTAGGTAACCGCCGGATCACTAAGTCCTACTTTCGTATCTGTTCGACTTGTTTGTCTCACAGTTAAGCATCCTTATGCCTTTGCACTCAACATAGGATTTCTATACCTATTGAGGATACCTTATGAACACCTCCGTTACTTTTTAGGAGGCGACCGCCCCAGTCAAACTACCCACCAAACACTGTCCTTTTGGCTGTAAACCAATAAGTTAGAATTATTCTGCCTATAAGGGTGGTGTCCCACCGACGACTCCTCCAAAACTGGCACCTTGGAATCACAGTCTCCCACCTACTGTCACAGTACAAACGGGAGAAAATTCAATATTAAGTTGCAGTAAAGCTCCACGGGGTCTTTCCGTCTAGTTGCGGGTAACCGGCATCTTCACCGGTACTAAGATTTCACCGAGTCTATAGTCGAGACAGTACACGAATCGTTACGCCTTTCATGCGGGTCAGAACTTACCTGACAAGGAGTTTCGCTACCTTTGGACCGTTATAGTTACGGCCGCCGTTCACTCGGGCTTCAATTCAGAGCTTTGCCAATAATTACTTACTGACTAACCCCTCCTTTTAACCTTGGAGCACCGGGCAGGCGTCGCCCCCTATACATCCTCTTACGAGTTAGCAGAGAGCTGTGTTTTTGATAAACAGTCGTTCGTGCCTCTTTACTGTGGCCTAGGTTGCCCTAGGCACCCCTTCTCGCGAACTTACGGGGCTAATTTGCCGAGTTCCTTGACTATAGTTTTCTCGCTGGCCTGAGGATATTCTCCCCAACCACGTGTGTTCGTTCTTGGTACGAGTACCATAACTATATCTTTAGAAGTTTTTCTTGAAAGTAAAGCATTCAAACAATTCGGTTGCCCTACCCATCGCACTTTAAGGTTATGCTTGGCGGATTTGCCTACCAAACCCTCTTTGTACTTAGACCAGAATCAATAACTGGTTTGTTTTAGCTGACTTTGTCACTCCTTCAGTAATTATGGTGAGTACAGGAATATTAACCTGTTATCCATCGACTACGCCTTTCGGCCTCGCCTTAGGTCCCGACTAACCCAGGGTAGACGACCTTCACCCTGGAAACCTTGGTCATTCGGCCAGAAGGATTCTCACCTTCTATCGTTACTCACGCCGGCATTCTCACTAGTAAAAACTCCACTAATCCTCACGGTTTAACTTCAACGCTTTTACTACGCTCCCCTACCGCTAGTTGGCAATAGAAAAATATTAACTTTTTTGATAGTCGCGACAAATACCTGTTTTTATACAGTCTTGTTTATGGCCTATTTTGTGTTTGCCACATTGATTACAAACTTTTTCACAAAGTTCACATTTTCGCGATTTATTCACAAATTAATCTTTAACAATTTTTTATTACCAACTAGCCTATGGCTTCGGTATAGTATTTGAGCCCCCTTACATTCTCGGCACTGAAAGACTAGACTAGTGAGCTGTGACGCACTCTTTAAAGGATGGCTGCTTCCAAGCCAACCTCCTAGCTGTTTTTGTCTTTCAACTTCCTTCTACACTTAATACTATTTAGGGACCTTAGCCGATAATCTGGGCTGTTTCCCTCACGTCCATGGAGCTTATCCCCCATAGACTGACTACAAGATAAATAAATAATGGTATTCGGAGTTTGATTACAGGCGGTACCCGGTTAAAGGCCCTTCTATATTCAGTGCTCTACCCCCATTATGGTTACTCTTGCGCTAGTCCTACAACTATATCGGGGAGAACCAGCTATCTCTAGGTTCGATAAGCTTTTCACTCCTAACCACAAGTCATCCAAGAACATTTCAACGGTCACTGGTTCGGCCCTCCATGAGGTTTTATCCTCACTTCAGCCTGCTCATGGTTAGCTCACCTAGTTTCGGGTCTATAATCATTGACTATCCGCTCTATTAAAACTTGCTTTCGCTACGGCTCCATTTCAGAGAAACTTAACCTTGCCAATAATTATAACTCGCCGGCTCATTCTGCAAAAAGCACGCCATTAGGCTTTAATGCCCTTTGACTTCTTGTAAGTGTTATGGTTTCAGGTTCTATTTCACTCCCTTTCCAGGGTTCTTTTCACCTTTCCTTCGCAGTACTAGTTCACTATCGGTGACTAATTAGTATTTAGCCTTACGGGGTGGCCCCCGTGACTTCCCACAAAATTTCACGTGTTTCGTGGTACTCAGGATGAAACGAAGAGAATTACTCATTTCAGATACGGGACTTTCACCTTCTCTGGTTTAGCTTTCCACCTAATTCTCCTATAAGTAATCTTTGTAACTCTTTATTCGCTTTCCTCTGACCCCAACTACAAAAATAATTGGTTTAGGCTTTTCCCATTTCGCTCGCCACTACTAAGGGAATCATTATTTATTTTCTTTTCCTCCGGGTACTAAGATGTTTCAGTTCTCCGGGTTTACTTCTAGGCAAATTTTGCCTAGATATTACCACATTACTGGTAATAGGTTGCCCCATTCGGAAATCTCTGGATCACAGTTTACTTTCCAACTCCCCAAAGCTTATCGCAGGATATCACGTCCTTCTTCGCCTATTAGTCCCAAGGCATCCACCATACACTCTTAATAACTTACTTTTCGGTAAAATCTATATTTGCGTTCAGTTTTCAAAGAAAGAGAAAGTAAAATATACCTCTCAAAATTAAATAGAAAAAACTCTTCTACTTATTTTTCAAAAGCATATTTAGATCACTACATATAATATATTTTTAAGATTTTATAAAACTTTTAGAATAAACAACTAAACTTTTTTTAATTCCCTCTTTAGATCATTAAATATAACACTTTCAAAGCTAGACAGAACCAAATTTTTTTATAAATTTTTCCATCCGCAGATTCCCCTACGGATACCTTGTTACGACTTAACCCCAATTGCCAATCCTACCCTTGTCAGCCGTATCCCTTGCGGGTTAACTAACTGGTTTCAGGCATTACCGACTTTCGTGATTTGACGGGCGGTGTGTACAAGACTCGAGAACGTATTCACCGTAACATGGCTGATTTACGATTACTAGCAATTCCACCTTCATGGAGGCGAGTTGCAGCCTCCAATCTGAACTACGGTTAGTTTTTTGAGATTAGCTCCCCCTCACGGGTTGGCGACCCTTTGTCCTAACCATTGTAGCACGTGTGTCGCCCAAGGCATAAGGGCCATGACGACCAGACGTCATCCTCTCCTTCCTCCAAGTTACCTTGGCAGTCGGCCTAGAGTCCCCAACTGAATGCTGGTAACTAAGCCCAAGGGTTGCGTTCGTTATAGGACTTAACCATACACCTCACGGCACGAACTGACGACGGCCATGCAGCACCTGTGTTTGGATAACCTCCGTTAAGTTTCCTCAACTTTGCCAAACATGTCAAGCCTTGGTAAGGTTCTACGCGTTGTATCGGATTAAACCACATGCTCCACTGCTTGTGCGAGTCCCCGTCAATTCCTTTAAGTTTCACTCTTGCGAGCGTACTCCCCAGGCGGAGTGCTTACCGGGTTACCTAGCGACACTGAGAATCAAGTTCCCAACATCTAGCACTCATCGTTTAGGGCGTGGACTACACGGGTATCTAATCCGTTTTGCTCCCCACGCTTTCATGCCTCAATGTCAGTAGCAGAATAGTTAACTGCTTTCGCCGTATTGATGTTCTTTCATATATCTACGCATTTTACCGCTCCACATAAAGTTCCGTTAACCTCTCCTGCACTCAAGTTCGACAGTATTACTAACTTCCACGAGGTTAGGCCTCGATTTCCCACCAGTAACTTATCAAACCATCTACGCATCCTTTACGCCCAATAATTCCGGATAACGTTTGCGACCTATGTCTTACCGCGACTGCTGGCACATAGTTAGTCGTCGCTTTTTACTCAAATGCAAAACCTTACGGCTAGTACATCTAAGTAAAGAAGTTTACAATCCGTAGACCTTCCTCCTTCACGTAGTATTGCTCCGTCAGGGTTTCCCCCATTGCGGAATATTCCTCACTGCTGCCTCCTAAATAGGAGTAAGGACCGTGTCTCAGTTCCTTTGTGGCCATTCATCCTCTCAGACTGGCTACGCATCATTGCCTTGGTAGGCCATTACCCCACCAACTAACTAATACGACTTATCCCCATCATTTAGCGAACCCAAAAGTCCTTTCATGATTGCTCATAATATGCGGAATTTTATCCCCCACTAAATGGCAGGTAAGATAAGCATTACTCACCCGTTCGCCGCTAAAAGTAATATTGCTATCACTTTCCGCTCGACTTGCATGTGTTAGGCATACTACCAACGTTCATCCTGAGCCAGGATCAAACTCTTAAAAGAAATAACTGTAAGAATTCACTCACAGGTAATTGGTTCCATCTAGTTTTCAAAGATACACTTCATTGTTTTTATTAAAGAAAAAGGAAAACAAGTAACCTAAAAACAGGAAATTAAAAACTTGTTAATTTTTATCAAACTATAGAAAACTACATATTACACAAGTATTATAATAACTATTTTAATTCTTTTTTCAATTTTTCGTAAACATCTGGATTACGTTTTTTTAAATATTGAAAAAATCTTTTTTCTTTAGCTACTTTTCTCAACAATGCTCGCTTGGCGGGTACATCTTTTTTATTTTTTTCCAAATGAATCTTCTCTTCTTTAATTTTCTTTCTCAACGAAACTATTTGGACAGCCGTTGAGCCGGTATCCTTTTGATGAAAACGATAATTTTCTTTTAATAACATGTACTTATTTATGATAATTTTATATAATGAAAAACTTTTAAAAATTTAGTTCATCTTAGCGTTCATTATTTCTTTCTTTAAACTTTTGAGCACGTTGACGAAATTTCTCAACTTCTCCTACTTTGACTTCACTAGCGGCTGTTCCAGCATAAAAAGGGCTACAATTACTACAATTTCCAACCCTAACCTTTTCCAAAGCAGTAGAAAAAGTTTTAAATTCCTGACTACAAGCAATACAAGCAAAAATAGTTTGCTGCACAGGAAAATGAAGTTTCTTTTTCATATTAAATTATTTTAATGTTTCTAGCAACTCCTTTTATCACTAACCTCACGCACTCTAATCGATTTGGAAACTGAGGTATATCATTAAATACTTGAAAATCAGGGCAACTATCTAAATTATATTCCTTTTTATCTATCATTTTTTGACAATTGCTTATTAGCACTTGAGCAAATTCTAAATCTTTTTCCTCCAAACACGAACAAAGAATATTAGCTGCTGCGACAGTAATTAAACATGATTGCTGACCAGCAAATAAGCATTTTTTTAGATAATTGTCTCGTTTAACTATCAATAAATGAAGAACATCGCCGCAGCCTTCGTCTGAACTTCGGATAGTTAAAAAAGGAGTTTTTCAAACAATACTTAATTTTTCTAATTCCGTAAATTCTACCTGTTTGCTAGGATGACCATAATTACCCAGTAGGATTTTCTTTTTTTTTTTGGGGGAATAAAACATTATTTATTATTTTCTGAAACTCTAAAAAATTTTATTTTAAATCCTTTGGATAATATAACAAACTATTGATATTTCTGCTTGTTATCAAAATTTTTTAATTGACGTCAGAAAATTCTACCTATTTATTTTGGCGGAAGTGAGAGGATTCGAACCTCCGAATATTGATTAAATATTACTAGCTTTCCAAGCCAGCCCCTTCAACCACTTGGGTACACTTCCTTCACTTACTTCTCTAAAATTTTGACAAAATAAATCTTTTGTGCCACTATTTAGTTTTTGGCCTTTCTTTCATAATATTTTTCACTATCAAAAGTATCCAATGAATACCGCAAGTAATGTTAATAAAAAAGGAAAAATTCTGAAAATGTTAAATATTATGGTGGATCTGATCGGATTTGAACCGACTACCTTCTGATTGCAAAACAGATGCTCTGCCAATTGAGCTACAGACCCTCTTATTCAGTTTTAATACTTTTTTTATTATAATTATAATTTTTACGGCTGCTAAGAATTTAAAAAATTCCTAATAGAATTACACTAAAACCAACAAATCGGTAGTCCAATTAGGATCGTAGATTAAAACATAAGTAAAATAAATTTACCTTATTTAGCATGATAAAAAATACTAAACAATTGTTAAAATTGGCTACAAAACTAAACTTTTACATTTAAATTTTAAGCAATTACCACACTATAAACCGTGTTCTCATATTAAGTAAGCAAAATCCTTACAACTGAAAGAGCAATAAAAAAGGTAAGTAAACAAACAAAAATACCAATTTAATTTTCTTTTGAGTTTTTCGAATTATCGAAGAAACGAAAAAAAGCAAAAAGCAATAAAAGAGCAAAAACTACAAAAAATTAAAGAGAAAGAAATCACTAAAAAATGCCATTTTATTAAATTATTCTACACTCTTATTTAGGAGGAGTATTCAATAAAATACAAAGAATTACCACTGTTAAAAGGATAATAACTATTACTATTCAAAAAAACAAACTTCCTAACTTCATGAATAGTTTTCCATAACTTTACCACGACACTACCTAAATCCCCACCCTTCTACCAAAACCATTAAAGACACTGAACTAAAAATTATAAGGAGCAAAGAAATTAAAAAAAGTTTTGTCATTCACCTCAACGATGAAAGTAAAGCAAAAGCAATCAGTAATACAAGCAAAATAAGCAAAAAAGGTCATACTACAAAAACAAACATTTTACTTTACATTATTCGGCAGTATTCTTTATTTGGCACTTCAATATTAGCCTTAATTCGATCAGATAATTAATTATCCCTTATACCTAACTTATTATTGCCCTTATTCATTTCACTAGATAGTTTAATGGTTGAACCTTTATTGTTATTGATTTCAACATATTCACCCACTGCCTCCACAGTAGCAGCAACTCCTACTCCTACTAAGCCAGTTGAAGCAGCTCCTAATAATAAAGATGCTCCGCCAGTAGCAGGTGCTAATTTTAACCTTGATTCAATTTTTGATTTGACTTCTTCTATAGGGAATTCTGTATAACCATTGCCTACCATAATGAAATATTTTACTATTTTATAAGTAAAATTAAGTAATCTATTAATACCAAAACTCTTAATTTTTGCTATTTAATTACCATACTTATCAATAATAGCGCTTAAAAATAAATTTTCTTTTGCTTTAAAGAGAATTGTTGAAACAATAACTAATTTGAAAAACAATGAGAATCAAGAATAATAAAAGAGAGAATTTATTTTGTTCTCAATTCAGCATTAAATAATCCCTTTATCTTTTCACTAATTTCGATCATAATTTTTTCTATTTCTTTATTTTCCAAGGTTTCAGTAGAACTCTGAAAAACTAAATGATAAGACACTGATTTTTGTTTTTTTCTACTCATTTCAGCATTTTGATAGACATCAAAAATATTTACTTCTACCAACTTATCTCCCCCTACTTTCCTTAAAGTTTCTATCACTTTATTATAATCAAGTTCTTCTGGAAAAAGGAAAGATAAATCCCTTTCAATAACTGGAAAATTAGAAACAGCCTTGTAAGTAACAGTATGTGGGAAATTAACGAGATAATTAAATATTTTAGTTAAAGAAATCTGAGCAACAAATATGGGCTCATTTATTTGATAATTTTGCGCAACATAGGGAGAAATCTGACCCAAAAAACCTATTTTTTCCTCATGAAGAAAAATTTCTACACTCTGCGAGGAATTTAAAAAACTGACAGAAGCCGGAGAAAAAACAATTTCTTTTTCGATTTGTCAAAGAAAAAAAATATTCTCCAGTATACCTTTTATTCAATAAAAGTCTATTTTTTGAGTTAACTTATGAAACGGCTGATTAAAAAAATTACCTACTCCACTTAAAATAAGCAATTCTTCTTTCATCCCAAAACCATAAACTGAACTAATCTCAAAAAAAAGTAGATTTTTATTACTATGAGAAAAATTATAACTAATAATTTCTAAATGGCTGGGAACAAGGGTTTGACGATAATATTTATGATACTCATTTTTTGGAGTCAATAATTCATAATAATTAATAATTTCTTTATCTTCTTCAAATTCTTTGCTTATTTTCGGTCCGAACAGAGAATAAGTAATAATTTCTTGTCAACCATAACTAGTCAAATAAACTCTAATTTTCTGCTTTCTTTTTTCGCCATCATTATCTTTGACAACAAAAGAAATTGTTTCTAAATTGCCACGCAATTGACCAACTATTTCGTTATAATCATAAATTTTTAACAACTCTTCCAATAAATCTTCTTGGCTGAGAATATCTGAACGATAACGAGGAATAGTAACATAGTAAATTTCTTCTTTTTTTTGGTAAGAAAAATTTAATCTTTTTCAAATATTTTCAATTACCAATTCGGTAAACTTTTGTCCTGTTTTTTTTTCAATAAAATTTTGAGTAATAGCAATTATCTTTTCCTTCTCCTCTTTTGCCGCTTGATAAATAAAAATTTCTCCAGAATTCAAATTTCCTTTATAGGAATCAACAATAAGCGAAATAACTCTTCAAAGAACATATTCAGGCGAAGAAAAAGAACTATTTTTTCGGCAAAAATAGCGACTAGCAGAAGTAGCAAAATTTAAGCGATTAGTAGTTAACTTGATTGCTTCGGAACAAAAAAAAGCACATTCAACAAGGATATTTCTAGTTTGTAAATTTACTGCTGTTTCTCGAGTGCCAATAATTCCTGCTAAATCAATAATCTTTTCTCCAGAACTGATAATCATGTCCTTAGAATTAAGTATTAAATTATCATTTTGGAGAGAAACCATAACTTCTCCCTCTCGTACTTGTCGAATAACCAGTTCTTTTTTTTCTGACAAACTCTCATAATCAAAAACATGTAAAGGTTGGCCGCTTTCTAACATCACTAAATTAGCAGCATCTACTACATTATTAACTGGCTGAATGCGATTTATTTTTAATCACTCTTTTACCAATTTAGAACTTTCTCTTATCTCAATATTTCTTACTAATCCTAAGTAAAAAGCGTGACAATTTCGACTCTCAATTTTTACTTTAACTTTTTTTTGTTCGCTTTTATTTATCTTCGGAACGCTAATCGGTTTAACTCGACAATTCAGTATAATTGATATTTCCTGAATTACTCCTCACCACGATAACAGATCAGGACGATTAGGAAGCGGATCAAATTCAAAATATTTATTTCTTTCTTTTTCAATCAATTTAGTTTCTAAACCATAATAAGTCAATTTTTCAACTATCTCTATCGGGGAAATTTCCGGTAAAAAGAGGCGTTCTTGGATATATTTTCAAGGTATTAAAGGCATGCTTAATTTAATTTTACCAACCAATTAAAGCAACTTTTCAACGAGAAATAAATGAAATAAAACTCAACTAATAATTCAAAGGATTGGTTTCAATTATTAGAGGGAGTTCTTAGGAACTCACCAAAATAGTTTTTATCTTTCTGGGGATTAATGAAATATGAGTAAATTATTAGCCCAATTTTCTATAAAAACAACGAACCAGCGAAAAGGAGACTTTTACGCTGGCTGATCATTTTGGTTGAAGTTTGAGTTAAAAGCAAATTCGTTTTTTAATTCGAGATATTATTTTCTTTTGCGTTTATTGTAAATAACAAGACCTACTACCAATATCAACAAAACCACTAAAAAAAAAAAAAAAAAAACATTCTCTTTTGTAAAAAGATTATTTGAATTATTCGCTTGACTAGGTTTATAAGAAGGGTCAGGGTCAGGATTTTTCTCTCTCATTTGTTGGATTAACGTTTTTGAATCAGAAAGTATTGGTTGAACATCACGTATTTTTGCTGCAGTAGCAATTTCGGGAGCGGAATTTAGCAAATACTTATTATTTTCATAAATAGCATCAATAACTTCTTCAATTGTTTTTAACTCCTCATCATTAGGCGTTATTCTTTTGTCTCTAATATCCTTACCAAAAGAACCTAATTTTTCTAATAATTTACCATAAATCTTTACTGCTAAAAGTTTCACATTATCATCAGAAGAAAAAAAGAAGGACGCAAAACTCTCGGTAATTCCTTAAACTTTTCTAACTTATTTTTATCAAAATCAGTTGCTTCTACCTCTCTAAATACTCTTTTGAGTTCTTGTTCTAAATTCATGAAACTACATTATTTTACAACTATCCCTAACCTCTACAAATGCTTCTTTTGTTCCCTCTTTAACTTTTTTATCATTACTTATTACATTTACTAATGCTGATTTGCCGCTTCCTGTGCGACCAATTAATAATACTGTTATTTTGTTCATATTTTTAAAATTTATATTTTTACTTGTTATATTTGTTAAATTAAAATGCTACTATAATAAGAAACTTAGTAGTTAAGCCATTAAGTTTTCTCTAACTCAGATTTTAACCTAAGTTGGTTGATATTAGTTTACTTTATTTGTCCTAACGGACGGGACTCGGCGACTACTAGTAATAAATAATCAGCGTTGGAAAATTTTTAGCATGATAAGGAATTTATTTTTTACATATCATTATTATATATATAATATTTTGGTACGGGACAAGGGACTTGAACCCTTATGCTCTTAACAAGCACTAGGTCCTAAGCCTAGCGCGTCTACCAGTTCCGCCAATCCCGCTAATTGCTTATTAATTTTTGAATTTTTAATGGTGTCCTGCGAGGGACTCGAACCCCCGGCTCTTTCCTTAAAAGGGAAATACTCTACCACTGAGTTAGCAGGACAATTTCTTAATTAGATTTTAACCACTTTCAAAAATCAAAAAATAAAGCAAATAAATTAAAAAAGCGCCGTTAATAAAAAAAAGAACAACAATACTACGCGGACAAAACAATCACTCAGAAAATAACTCTCAATTTTTGTTTATAATATGGAGGCATATTGAAAGCATACTAATAATATTCGCACAAATAAGTAGTAAAATTTTTCTCTTTCAATATATCATAAAATCCGTAAATTCTTAATTATTTTTATTACCCTTTTAAAAGTTATATAAAGTTATCTACATAGCGCCTCTATCTTTGCTATAAAAACTATTCTAATTCATCTAATTCGTCCTCTAATTTTTCTTGAATTTTTTCTAATTCTTTGGAAGCCTCTTTATATTTGTATCAATAATAAGAATAAAACACTGTAATAACCAGCACAACACCCAACGCAATTCAACTAAATGGTTCAATATTTTCTTTGAGTTTTTTTCAATTAATACTAAGTTCGTCAGCATTTTTTAATTTTTCCGAAATTACCCATATAATTCCGCCCATAAACCCTAATGAAATAAATCCTGCCGCACAACCATAACTAAACATGCTAAATATAACCTTGTCCCTTTCTCGCTCTTTTTCACTTTTCTTTTTTAATAATTTTCAAGTCTTCTTACTCACATTTTTTTATTTTGGCTGGGGTGGCTGGGATTGAACCAACGATCAAGGAGTCAAAGTCCTTTGCCTTACCACTTGGCTACACCCCAAATTACTTTTCTTTGGCTCTTTGCTGATTAATTACATTTTTTGCTAAATAGATTTCTAATAATGCTGGTTCGCTAATTTCTAATTTTTGACATATTTGGTTAAAAATTTTTCATCATTCAAAATAGGTGGTCAACTCTTTTTTTTGAGTGAACTTGTTATCTTTAACTTTATCCCATTGTTCCTCCTCACTTATAAACAAATTGTTAGTTTTAGCAAAAAAATTAAGTAGCAATTTATTAAACGGTAAAACTTCTGATTTTTCTGAAGAAAAATCAAGCGGGAGGTCTATTTGATAAATACTACACAATCCAATAAAATAACCTAAACAATCAATTAATTCTTCTTTGGCTTTGGCTCAATTAATTTCTGGCTTTTTTCGTCACGCCTTAAAAGATTTTATTTCATTAGCAAACTCGCCTACTTCCACCAAGAGTGCCAATTTTAATCTTTCTGCGTTGAAGCGAGAAAATCATTTTAATTCCGTGCTACTTTTGGCAACAATAAGTTTATCTAACTCAAATTGTTTTTCTACCAAAATTTTCCAATTTTTAATTGTTAACATTATCAATTTTCTTTTCCTTTAATTTCCTTGGAAACCTATAACTACAACCGCTATCATTAATAGCAAAACAGTATTTCTTAATAATACTTTTCTCGCTTCTTATTCTCGTAATACTTATATAAAATTTTATTTTATACTAACTTTTTGGTGGGAGGAGAGGGATTTGAACCCCCGGTTTTACTGATCTACAGTCAGGTGCAATGGGCCGCTCTGCCATCCTCCCAATTCTTAATAAGAAATTACAATCGTTTTAGGCATCCATTTTGTTAACCATCCTAAATTTCAATTTCTACACTGAGCCAACAAGCAAACCACTAAATGAAAAATCAATAAGGAGAAAAAAATGCGAACACATGCTCATAAAATTTTTCCTAATTGCACAACACTTTCAATAAAAATGGTGCTGGTTGAGGGACTCGAACCCCCAACCTTCCGCTTACAAGGCGGCTGCTCTATCCAATTATAGCTAAACCAGCATAAGCAGCACTTTTGGAGAAAGTATTAACCTTTCTTAAATCATGGTAGGACACGACGGGCTCGAACCGTCAACCTCCTGCTTGTAAGGCAGATGCTCTCCCATTGAGCTAGTGTCCTTTATATTAGTATTTTAAACTGTTATCAATAAAATTTACAAGTTTTTTTCTAAGTATTTACAGAGCAAGGTAGTAAAAGTGAAGTAAGAAACTCTTTTGCTATTTTTTCATAGCAAACTATTTGGAACAAAATCAGCGATAAAGGGCAAATCACCATGATCAGCATCACGACAAAAGTAAAGGTTAATTTTTCCTCTATTTGCTTTATCTTTAATTAATTGGTAATAAACACTAGAAGATGCTCGCCAATCCAGCATACTATCTTCGAGACCATGCAGAAGCAGTAATTTAATAGGTAATTGTTGTGGCAGCACCATAAAAGGATTCACTTTTTCTAATTTATCATAAGAAGAATTTAATAATTCCTTAACCATTTTATCCAATAAAACTCCTTTTCAGTAACGATTTAACCCCCATCCCAAAACGTTTCTTTTTTGTTTAGAAAAATAATCAAAAGGAGCTTCACAGATAGCAAACACAACTTCTGAATTGCCAGCTCCAGCAAAATAACTTAATCAAAAAAGACAAGTTGCCGCTCCCATTGAAAAGCCGTAGAGACCTATTTTTTCCGGCTGATATTCCTCTTTTATGTAATTAATAATATCTTGCAAATCACACGCCTCTACTTGACCTAAACTGGTTGAAAATTTACTAGAAACGCCGTGATTTCGAGCATCATAAGTAACGACACAATAACCGCGTTGCAAAACTAAATGCATAACGTAAAACAACGACCAACGGTTACTAGTAACTCCATGACAAAAAATAACCACTTTGTTATTATTGGCATTAGTCAAAACTGGTCAGATAATGCTTCCGCTTAGAATCAAATTATCTTTAATAGTTAAAATAGTAAATTCTTCTCTCAATCCTATTTTTTTGCAAAAATCAAAATATCGCTGATAGCCTACTAAATTAAGCGAATTTCTTTCAGTTCCTTTCAATAATTTTATCTTGTCATTAACTATATCAATCGAAGTTTCTGTGTCACCAATACTCGGAGCTGAAAGAGGAGCGGGATATCATACCTTTCACAACCTTTTAAAAAAGGCTTTAATATTAAATCATAACTTTCCAAACATTAGCAAATTAGTATATGCAATATTACCTATTTCTAAATATCTTAAATTTTACTCTTCCTTTTTAAGAAAATCCTAATAAACGCCATAATTACTAGAACTCCGACTACTCCACCTACTATCTTTAAAGCCTTTTTATTTTCTGCTGATAGTTCTGTTTTTGGCTTTTCTGGATTATCTATATTTTCCTTATATTCAGCAATAGTAATTTTATCGGATAAATTTACTTCTTTTCAAGAGGAAATCCCAACAACTTTCTCTGATTGAAATGAAATATGTTCAACTCCTTCAATTAGGACAAGTACTTTGTCTTGTTTTTGATTAGGAATTTCTTTGTGATCAGGGAGACTCGCTATTATTGGGTGATTTTTAGGAAAGACTAAATAAAACTCTTGACCATTTTCCATACCTCGAAAAACATAGCGAACGTCACTAGAACTTTTTCATTCTCAGTCTCCCTCAAAAAGAAATAGTTTGGAATTGTTATTTAACTTTTGATCGATTTGGGCTTGGTCTGGTTTTTTTTCTTCCTTTTTCTTTTCCAACTCTTTTATTTGTTGAATTAAACCTTCAATTTCTTGCCAATCGTTAGGTTCTAATTCCTCCGGAAAAATTTCAATATCTTGTCCATCTTTTCTTTTTTTATAATATTCTTTGTCAAAAATGTTTTCAAAAGGACCATAATAACTTAACCTTCACTCATTCCCTCTATAATCACCGCAATTGTCGCCTAATGCTATTGATCAAGTACACCCCCAAGTCCCATAAACTCCATTTTTACTCTTTTGCTCCTTTTTGGCTTCCACTAAATCTTTTTGTAAATCCTCTTTAATTTCATCAGCAAGCAACTTTTTTTGATTATTTGGCATAATATTTTAAGAATTTAAAAACAATATATATATATATATATATAAGTTTAATGATATTTTAATACACGCTTTACTAAATTTTCTTTATTTCAAACTCTTTTCCATTTAAATAGGATAAAGGTGAAGGTAAATTATTGAAAATAATTTTATAAGCAAATAAACAAATTTTATCTTTTATTTCTGTCTTACTGCCATACTTTTTATCACCAATAATCGGCATACCAAAAAAAGATAAAGTGCTTCTGATTTGGTGTTTTCTTCCAGTATGTAGAGTGACTTCTAATAATATTGAACTTTGATATTCAGAAGTAATTTTTTGAAATAAATCAAAAGAAACTTTTTTCTGAATAATTTTTTTAATTTCTAAAGCACAATGTTGAGCTTCCGAATCCGGATTTTTTAAAGTAAAAACCATTTTCTGTGCTCGAGAATCTTTTCTTAAATAACCACTAACATAATTTGGCAAATTTTTCTTGAAAGAACCTTCACACAAAGCCAAATATTTTTTAGTAATTTGGGTTTTATCAGCAATTGCTCGATACAGTATTCGTTTAGCAACCGAGTTTTTAGGATAAATTACTAAACCTTTAGTTACTTTGTCTAATCGATGAACAGCAGTTACCACAAAAAATTCTTCAGTTTGCTTTTGATATTCAATTGGATCCTTTTGAAAAAGATAGTTGCGAACTGAATTATCTAAACTTGGCATAGTTATCCCATGCTCTTTGAAAACTATCAGAACATTTTTATCTTCATAAATAGTTTCGAAATACACTTTTGACTGAGAAAGAGGATAAATAGTTGAATTAGACTTCGTTAGGTAATTATCATAAATCTCTATTTTCTCTCCGTTTTTTAAACGATAGTGATAATAACGGATGCTTTTTCCATCAACTTTTATTTTTTTAGCTCGAAATAATTTATAAATGAGGCTTAACGGAGTAGTTTTGAACCTCCTTTTTAAAAAACTAATCATTGTCTGATCGTTTTCTCCTTCGTGAACAATAAAACTCAACATTAAAAAATTAAATACAAAATTAAATTTTAGGTTTAGGAGGTGCTTATCTTTGTTTAATACTTATTATTATCATCTAAAATGAAATCCAAAACAAAACTCTCCTATAAAAAACTTTATCTTTACAAATTATATGCATCTCTTTTTCCCCCTATTTTTCTTTTTTACAGCAATTTAACTTAACTAACTTGCTTATGACCCAACAAAATAACATTTTTTTATTTTCTAAACTAGATGAATAAACAACTAAAACCAACAATTGAAATTAGAAAAAGAATGAAAGAACTTATCACTCTTTTAGAAAGATGAAACTACGAATATTATATTCTTAACCAACCAAGCATAAAAGATGAAGTGTATGATCAACATTTAAAAGAACTACAAACTTTAGAAAAAGTGTCCAGCTTCATCTTTCCTAATTCACCCACAAAAAAAATTGGCTATCCTATCAGTAACAAATTTCATCCAGTTCAACGAGAAATCCCCATGCTTAGTTTGGATAGCGTTGACAATTATGAAAACTTACTTAAATTTGATGAAAGGGTCAAAAAACTACTAAAAACTGATCAAGAAATAGAATATGTTTGCGAATGGAAAATTGATGGTCTGTCAGTCAGTCTTGTCTACCAAAATCATCAACTGGTCCAAATTAGCACACGGGGAAATGGCGAGGTAGGAGAAGATGTAACTTTTAACAAAGAATTAATAAAAAATATTCCTTTTACTCTGCCTGAAACTGCTAATTGTGAGGTGCGGGGAGAAATTTATATGAAAAAAGATGAATTTTTTCGTTTAAACAAAGAATTAGAAAAAATTGGCAATAGGCTGCTCGCTAATCCTCGTAACGCTGCTTCTGGCAGTTTAAGAACACTTATTCCACTCCAAAACAGAAAATTAAACTTTTTTGCTTATCAATTACTTAATATTGAATTAGACAGCCAAATAACTTGTCTAAAAAAACTAGAAAAATTGGGTTTTGTAGTTAGTCCTAATTACCAATTGTGTAAGGGTATCGAAAAAACTAAGGAATTTATCCAAAAATATGAATCAAAAAGAGAAAATTTAGATTTTGAAAGCGACGGGATAGTCATAAAAGTAAACAATTATGATTTTTATCAACTACTAGGACAAACCAGTCGCTTCCCTCGGTGAGCTATTGCCTACAAATTTCCTGCTTCAATTGCTACTAGCCAAATAAAAAACATTTACGTAGAGGTAAGCCGTAACGGACGAATAACTTATGTGGCCGAAATAGAACCAGTGACACTACAAGGAAGCAAGATAAACAAAGTAACACTCCATAACTATTCATTTATCCGCAATTTAAAACTAAATATCGGGGATGAAACAGTAATAAAAAAAGCTGGTGATGTTATTCCGCAAATAGTTCAAATAATCAAATTAAAAGAGAACAATAGTTGAACACCTCCCAGCACTTGCCCTTCTTGCAAATCAATCCTTAATTGAAATCCGACTAATATTTACCAAATATGCGATAATAATTACTGTCCTCAACGCATTATTAATTCTCTCACTCATTTCGCTTCTAAATCTGGTCTAGACATTAAAGGACTTAGCCAAAAAAACATTGAAAAACTCTATCAAAACTCCTTTATAAAAACAACAATTGATTTTTATCGATTAGAACAAAAAAGAGAAGAATTACTAAAACTCGCGGGTTTTCAAAAAAAAAGCGTTGATAATATCTTAACTTCGATTGAAAATTCCAAAAAAAAACCTTTAACTAATCTATTAACAGCTTTAGGTATTCCATTATTAAGTTCAGTTAAAGCCAAAAAATTAAGCATTTTTTGCCCTAATTTAGCAAGCATTCGCACTATAATAGAAAACAATGAATGAGAAAAAATTAGAGAATTATTAGGAGAAGAAACACAAAAGGAAATGAAAAATTACTTTCAAACTCCAGAAAACGTTCAACTTCTTAAAGAATTAGAAAAACTCTGAGAAAACTAATTAAAGTAAAAAGCATTAGTTATATTATTTTTTTCAATTTCAATCAAGTTCATTTTGTGGTTTCCTTGACCTCAATTTAAGCAACCAATTGATCTTTTGTTCTTCTAAATGTTTAGAATTTTAATTCCATTTAATTTGTAAAGTAATAAAAACAGAATTTAAAATCTCTTTAAAAATTAATTAAGTTAGAATTCTATGCCGAATAGACTGCAAAATCATCCTCAAAATCTAAATACCCAAACAAAAAAAATTTCCTTCTGATCCCTGTTTAATAGATTTAAAACAAAAGTAATCCTTCACTGAATATTTACTATAATTCGTATTACTTTTTGATACATATTATTAGCGATCCTAGTTAATCTAGTTCGTAAAGGCAGCGAGGTAAACAATTTCACGGACTTATTACCTAATTTGGCGAAAAAAGTACTCGGTGAAAACATAATTTGAAACAAGAATGATCTTATTAAATTTGGCTTAATTTGAGGCTTAATTTACGCTTTTCTTTACTATATCGACACCCACTTAGAAGAGGAATTGCAAATTAAAGGCGGTCACTACACTAAAAATCGTTTATTAGATAAATTCCGCTGCCTTCCCTTTGAAGAAAGACAAAAAAGACAAAATGAAATTAACACTTTAGTAGAAGTCGAAAGTTCAAGCATCGGCTGAAATTGAAATCACATTTATAATCATATTTTTCACAGTTCTCTCTCTATTCTCTTGGTAATTTGAGATAACTGAAAAGAAATTATTGAAATGTGAAAAAATAGTAAAAAAGCGATTTTTTTTTCACTGTTTTGACTATTTTTAATCAACTTAATTAGTTATCTCTTTTTAAGAACAATTTTAAAAAAAGAAAAAATTTATAAGAAAAAGCAAGTCCAAGAAAACGCTCTAATTAATAAAGAAAGCAACAAATCTATTCTTATTGACAGTATGGGACTAACTACCCAATATCGTGATAAACAAAGAAAAAAAACTGCTCAAAATCAAACCTTTCTACTTAAATCTAATTACACTAAGTCTTTAAATAAAACTATTCCAGAAAGGCTAATCGAAATCTATCCTTTTCTTTTACTAATTTTAAGTGAAGGGGTTTTTGGAAAAAGTTTGTTTGCTTTTTGGGAAGTATTCGATAATTTAAAAGAAATTTTTCAATGCCTCTGAGATTATGGAGATTATTCTTCTTCTCTCTTTCGCATTAATTCCTTCTTAGCTTTACCAGAAAAAAATGATAACTTAGCAGGAATTCAACTTAATAAACAAGTAAGAATTAAAGCTATTCACTTCCAAAAGGTTACTTTTGATTATCAAACTCAAAATAAACCTATTCTCCACCATTATCAACACACTTTTACCAACCAAGAACTTAATCAGTTAGTTGGTAAAAATGGAACAGGTAAAAGTACTATTTTATATCTCTTGTTAGGAATATTAACTCCTCAACAAGGTCAAATAGTAGTAGAGACTGAAACAGGCTCTACTTATAATTTACATCAAGATCTTAATTTAAAAACTTGACGAGAACAAAATGTTGCTTATTGTGCCCATGATAATCTCATTGAAACTGGTTCTACAGGACAAAGGCAATGGACTAATATCAACAACGTTTTACAACAAAAAAAAGACGCCTTCATTTTTTGTTGAGATGAAGCTGATAACGCTCTTGATATCAACAAAAAACAAAAATTTAAACAAGAATTAACTAAATTACTCAAACTAGGCAAAATAGTGATTTACGTAGAGCACTAGAAAATTTTTATGAAAAATGATTCTTGTCAAGAGAAAGAAGAAGAATTTTGTTTCCTTTCTTTTTACTCTTGCACTAATGTATATAATTTTTATGATCAAACGTTTACTACCTTTTTTTTACTCTTTTAACTTATCTTAATTTTCTTTCCCTTACTTTCTTCAGATTTAGGAACAGTAATAACTAACATCCCTTCTTTATAATCAGCTCTAATGCCTTGACTATTAACAGCCCGAGGTAAATTATAAGTTCGAGTAAAGGAACCATAACTAATTTCCGAAAAGTGATATTTTTTATTAATTGTTTCTTTTTCCTCTTCCTTTTCAGCATGAATTCGTAACTGATTATTAACTAATTCAATATCAATTTTTTCTTTAGAAATACCTGGTAATTCAGCCTTAACATAGTAGTTATTATTGTCCTCTTGTAATTCACTACGAAAAGATGTAGTTTCCCAAATTTCTTCATCAAAAGGAGAAAGAAGACTATCTCAAATATTTCTAGTTCAATTTCTTTTTAATGGATTATTTCTCACTAATCTATTGTCTTTATTCATATTTTTTATTACTAAAAAAACGTAAATTTTAATTCTAACTAAATATTAGGGAACCAAAAAAGGTTCCCAAGTAGCACTAGCACAGTGTGAAAGTGCTACGATTATAGATTAGATACTTTTTTATGTTAACTATCATGTTTATCATAATATTAATCATAACTTTTTTCTTTTCTATAGTTATAACATATTAGTAATTTCCTTTTTCAAACTTCACTAATGAGAAGAAAAGTTTTTAACTTTCCTGCCTAGCAAATAAGAATCCGTCATTTTTAAATCAATTCATCAGTATAGAATCCTGATTAATTAAAAGAGGAACATCAAAAACCTTTTTTAGGAGATAGATTTAATTAGTTTATCAATCTTTTTAATTCTGCGAGAATATTTTTCAACTTGAATTATTCAATAAAGAGTTCACGGAAGGGTGAATACACATAAACATATGAATAAGTTAAAACCAAAATCTCCTCAGTCAAAAACTCAACCTATTACGAAAAAAAATAAACCTATTATTCAAGGAAGTATAGCATATTCATAATACTTCTTTAAGGTTTTTTTTTCAAATAGGCTTTTTCTCATAAAAGTTCATTTACTTTTGTCATTAAACTTAAATTGCTTAATTAAATGGTTCGTTCTTCTACGATTCGGTTTCTCTCACCGTGAATCCACACATGCGCACTTTTGCCTTCTCCTTCATGGGCCCATTTTTTAACTTGTTCCCACGCTTCTGCTTGGGAAGAAAAAGAATCTCTTCTGCCATCATGCACATCAACTGCATACCATTTTCCATCTTTATGAAGTGTAATGCGGTAATTGTTCGCGCGTTCACTTGCTTGTTCTTTATTTGTGTATGCCATAATATTTTAAAAATTTATTTTGCTATCTCTTGCCTCAATAGCTTTTGGGCATTAGCATTCCTTAGAAATTCAAAGAATTCCTAAGTTAACTGCGTGCTAACTCACAACTTTACTTATTTGTTTGCATAAGCCAAGTAAAGGTTTCTTTTTTACTTATTCTGAATTACATTAATAAGACTTTTCAGTAAAAAGTTTTTACTTATACCAGTTACTTTTTCTTTAAATTCTAATGGTGGAACTGGTAAGAAATCCCAGATTTTAAATCTGTGAACTTATTCTGAAAATAAGTCTAATTAGAATTTAACTTTACAACTACCTTTTTATTACTAAAAAGTTAGGCAAGTTTTCTTTGCCCTGTTTTACTTCCGGTAAAGTTCATAATACTATTTTTGCTAGTCAAAATAGTTTACTTATGAAAGTGTGAAGTATCTTTTTAACTTGCTTACTGTCTAGAAGATAAGTTAAGTAGGATAAAATATAACCCTAATTTCAACTTTTACTGCTACTTGGTTATCAACTTTTATTTTATAGTGTTTTAATAAAGTATATGAATTTGCATAAAATGTAGAATCAAACTAAAAAGTAAAAAAATTAATAATTCTATATTTTCAATTGCTTCAAAATTCTATTTTGTAGCAAAAACATCTTTTTTCTATCAGCAATTTTTTCATGATCGTGCCCTAGTAAATGCAACAAGCCATGCAAGAACAAAAAGCAAATTTCTTTCGCTAATGAGCATTTTTTTTTTCAACTTTGTTCAATAACTACTGGATAGCAAATAAATAAATCGCCTAAATCTCGCCAATCATTTGTTGAGCAATCAATTTCTTTCTCATACCAATAAAAAAAAGGAAAGGCTAACACATCAGTTGGTTTATCAATTTTACGATATTGACGGTTCAACTGTCGGCTTTTTCTTCTACCAATCAAAAAAAGATTAATCAAGTAATGATTATCTTTCGAAACTATTTCTAATATTTTTATTAAATTTTTCTTAGTTTCCTGCGTAAGTTGATATTTTTGGTAAGTAATGTATATTTTTAACCTCTTTTTCAATTCTTTTTAGATACTAGAATATTTCAACTTGTTCTTTCTTTTTTGCCTTATCTTCTCGTTTTATTCAAGACCAAATCTTTTTACGGTAAAAATAGAGTAAAGAAACTATTAACGCTGCTGCAAAAAACGCTATTAAAATTTTAGGTCAAGTTCAAAACGTTTTATCTTTATTAGGAGAAGGAGAAGGGAAAGTTATTATTTCATCAGCTTCAATAGTATCATTTTTACCAAACTCAATAAACATTTTAAGCACTTTGGGTGTAAACGCTTGTGCCACAGGAGATCCAGAAGCACTTTTATCTTGTATTTTTATATCAAGTTTACCATCTATACCACTGATATCTTTTGAAATTACACAATCTACCAAATCTGGTAACTTAGAATATTTTATTCTTCTCTCTTTGCTAGCATTATCAATAAAAGAAGGTTTATCATAGATATACCGAGAAATAGCGTCATTTTTGCAACGGTAATATCCAGAAGAACTTTTTTTATCAGTTAAGCGATAAATAACATCCCCATGTTTAAGTTCCTTTTCTCTGTCGACTGGATAAATATATAAAATGACATGCAAGGTAACATTTTCTTTTTCTTTTCGTAATTTTTCAGTACTTTCTATTAGTTTATTATCCTTGTCAAAAATCTCTACCTTTCATCTGACGTGGCTCGCGTCTTCATTGAATTTATCTTTCGCTAATGTAATACTATTTTTACCATCAACAGAATCTATTATATCAATGATTTTAGATTGCTCGTTCATATTTTCTTCCTATTTCTTTTTCTTTTTTTCGAAAAAAAATCCTTTTCGGTACTTACGTAAAGTGAAAGAAGATAGTTTCTTAAAAAAAAGAAAGGAACCTTCAGGACTTTTTTCTTTGTTAATTTTTATTTTAATCATTAATAAATGGAATACAAATGGCGGTCCTGACGGGAATCGAACCCGCGACACCTCCGTGACAGGGAGGAGTGTTACCACTATACCACAGAACCTGCACTTAATTGGTGCCCAGAGCCGGACTCGAACCGGCACGAGGAAACCCTCATGGGATCTTAAGACCCACCCGTCTACCAATTCCGCACATCTGGGCAAAAAGACGTAAACTGGCAGAGGTGGCAGGACTCGAACCCACAACAATCGGATCTGAAGGCCGATGTTCTACCAATTGAACTACACCTCCACACTTAAAAGTTGAGGAATTTTCGTAAATTCCTACAAACAATTAGTGTTAATTTAATAAATTAATCCCTACTAAAAGACTTTTGGTGACCCGTACGGGAATCAAACCCGTCATGCATGCGTGAAAGGCATGTGTGTTAATCGCTTCACCAACGGGCCCTTTACTAATAAGAACTTATAAATTCTTTCAATTGATGAACATTCATGCTTCCGCTTGCTTTTTTTATCATTTTACCGTTGTAAAAAAGAAAAAGAGTAGGTACCGAACGTACTGCAAATTCTGAACTTTGCGCTATCTTACTAAATTTTTCTGCATCAACTTCTAAAACTAACAAATCTTTTCTTTCTCTTAACAAATCTTCTAAATTTTTTTGTAATTCTTGACAAGGAAGACACCACGTAGTAAAAAACTTTACTAACACTAACTTATCTTGGTTAGTTTGGAGGAAGAAGTTCATTTCTTCCTCCTTTTCTAATCTTTTCAAAATATTTAAAGATATTTATATCTTTTTAAATGTTTTCCTCTTCTTCTTCCCGACTGGAACTAGATCATCATCAATAGCCACCTACTCCAACTAACACTAATACAACTGTTACTAAACCTCATCCTCACCAATTCATCCCTAAAAAATCAGCTTTTGTGCTGAGATTTAGTTTATTTTTAAGTTCTTGACCACCTATTTTAGTAATTTCAATTGAATTGAAAAAGTAACCTCTTTTATATGTTCCTTCAACATCTAGGTTTGTTTGTTTTTTAGTAGCATCTTTATCATCTTCTACATCTGCTTTAATATTTGAAACAGCTGTATCATGTTTTACTGAAATATCTTTAGCCTCTAATATTTTTATCTTACAATTTTTATTAGCTTCAATCTGAGTTGTACCAGTTCCAATTGCAGTTTTAAACTCACCTGATAATGTTTTTTCGTCAATATTTATTTTTTTATCACTCATATTATATTTTCTATTCTTTATATATTATATTTTATAATCCTGTATGGAGCGAATAACGGGAATCGAACCCGCATCCCTACCTTGGAAGGGTAGAATTCTAGCCGTTGAACCATATTCGCAACAAATTTACTTCGTTATCTAATTATATTTTTTTGATAAACTTACTAACAAACTTTTCTTATCCATCCATCTTCTATACATTTTACAATGGTGGTCCAGGGCAGAATCGAACTGCCGACCTTCTGATCTTCAGTCAGACGCTCTAACCAACTGAGCTACCAGACCAATTTATCTTTGCCAAACCATTATTATTCGAGTATTACCAGAATAATCAGGGAAAACAGACACTTTGCCTCTTGGAAAATAACTTATTACTAATTTTATAATTATTTCGGTTTGCTGATGACCTATTTCAAATATCAGCAAAAACTTTTTAGTTAAAAAAAGACCAACTTGGCGCAAAATTTCTTGGTAAAAATAATAGCCATTTTCCTTTGCCATTAAAGCCTTTCAAGGCTGTTTTTTAACTGAACTTGCCAAGTTCCGGTACTCAGTAGCACTTATATAAGGAGGATTAGAAACAATAATATTAAACTTTTCCTCTTTTGGAATATCAGTAAATAAATCACTTAAAAAAAACCTAACATTTTTTATTTGATGGATATTAGTGTTAATATTAGCTACTTTCAAGGCATTTTTACTATTGTCAATACCTATTAAACTCCAATGTGGTTTATTTTTAGCTAAAGAAATTACAATATTACCGCAACCAGTACCAATATCAAGCACTTTCAATTTTTCCTCATCCTTTCAATATTTTCCAGCATATTCTAAGGTTTTTTCTACTAATACTTCAGTATCTTTTTGGGGAATAAAAACCCCTTTTTTAATATAGAAAACTAGTCTATAAAAAGAAACTTGCTTAGTTAAATAAGGAACAGGATAACTTTCTTTTAAATATTTATCTAAATTGCGGTAAATTACGGTATAATCGGCAAAATCTAGCAGCTTACAAGAAAAATTTAGTCAAAAATTTTCTGGACTGGTTTGACAAAGAGTAATTATATCATTTTTTACTGTTTCAATCACAATATTTTCTCGTAAAGAAAGCGCATATTTCCAACAATCTTGATAAGAATACTTATTTTTTTCGGCGGTCATGTTAAAAGTTTTTTAATCTTTGTTCTGTGCCAACTGCTATAAGAAAACCTTACCGGAAAAAGAAATTCACAAAATCCAGAATTTCCCTTTAAGAAACAGGATGGAAAGTAGTGTTCCTCAAATTAGATAAAAATTCTCATAACCTTTATAAACTTCTCTTGTTTCTTACTATTTTATATAGAAAAACAAAAGATGCTAACTTTCTTATAATCTTTCTTTACATAACTTTATAAAAGTTATAAACACTTAACAACGCTAATAGAAGCACGAATACTTTTACTTTGAAAAAGGTTAAATAAAATTAAATAAAAATTAACTATTTTGAAAGTAAAGTATTTCTTATTCTCCCCTTAAAAAACCCCTCTCCCTGTTTATAATAAAAAATAAATCGTAAGCATATACTAAATTGCTTAGCCTAGTCTAATCTTCTACATCTTATAGGAACTCTTTTAGTATCACATATCACATCACATAAACAAAACCTATTTCAAATTTTATTTATTATGTATTAATAATAATAGAGATGAATGGTATTAAACCTATGTCCTCAAGAAAATTCTTTTACAACTTGGTTTATTTTTCAATTTCCCATCTAGTTTACTAATAAACGAACACAACTAATGGTAGGATATTTTTTATTAACAATCAATTAGAGAAAAACAACCAAAATCGACCAACTGATTCCAATTCTATTAATAATTATTTGAATGGAACAAATAATTAGATAATTCAATTAGACGGTGAAAGTTAATTGATTGCGTCCGTAGTTGCTCATTAACAATTATATCGGAACATTAATATTAAATTAGTTTTGATTTTTATTTTTTTTAAAAAAAAAATCGCATCCGCAACACTTTTCTTGATCATCTATATATTATATTTTAATTCTCTTTGGTGTGGGACAAGAGATTTGAACTCTCACGAGATAACTCTCACAAGAACCTCATTCTTGCGTGTCTACCGTTCCACCAATCCCACTTAATGCGTTTTAAATATTTTTAATCATGTTATGTAACTGCTCTCTTTATCTTTGTGCTAGTTAAATTATTACCAAAAAGTAGGTATTGGAATAAAAGTCAAAAAAATTAATCTAATAAATGCTCCTGTAATTCAGTGGACAGAATACTCGTTTCCTAAACAAGTCGTCGGAGGTTCGAATCCTTCCAGGAGCGCCATAAGAAATTTATCTAAGAAGTTGTTAAAGAAAGTAAAATTCATTCAATGAAATTAATTGTGGGTTTGGGTAATCCCGGTAGAGAATATTTGATGACTAGACATAATTTAGGATTTTTAGTTATCGACCATTTAGTCCAAAGACTAGGTGTAAAATTGAATAAAAAAAAATTCCAAGGACTCTATCATGGAACCAATGAATATATTTTCCTCAAACCACAGACATACATGAATAATTCTGGTGAATGTATTTCAGCCTTTATGAGTTATTGACAAATTTCTCAGGAAAATTTATTAGTGATCTATGATGATATTGCCTTGCCGTTAGGGAAGTTTCGTTATCGTGAGCAAGGTTCAGCTGGGGGGCATAATGGAGTGAAAAACATTATTGAAAAGTTAAGCATAAACAAATTTAAACGTTTACGAGTAGGTATTGGCTATGATGAAAGGGATTTTCTCATTAAAGATTGAGTGTTAGGAAAATTTTCTTTACAAGAAAAAAATGAATTAAAAAAAATCTTTCCAAATTTAATTGATAGTTTGTTAGAATGAATTGAAGGAGATAATTTTAGAAAAATTATGAATAAATATAATGCTAAATATTCTTAAATAAAAAAAGGGTTGGTTTTTATTTTTCCCAACTACTTCTTAATATTTCTCACCTTTTTAGGTCAGATTAAGTAGTCTACTAAGCATCTTTATCTTTCCACTCTGATAAATCGTATTCTAAAACCAAATCAAAATTAGTAGCAATTTGGTTACCACTAGCATCTTGGTAAGAAGGTTTCAAAAATTGTTTTCTATACACTTTATCTGTATATCCCTTTTTTTTACCCACAAAATGTAATCACCAACCCACCACTTCAATATTTACATGATCTTCTATTTGTTGACTTAGTAGGTTTAACCTTTTCGCTGGATCAGGATCCGATTTAAGACCATTATGCCAAGTTTGTAAAGCTGGATTAATTTTGTTTATAAGACAATTTTTAATTTCATTAAATTTTAGTAACTTTTCTTCTTTTTCTTCCTGTTCGTGCCATTTTACTCAATCAACCTTACCATCTGATTTACGAGGAATTAGAGAAATCAAAAGGAACCTAATTTTAGCCTCTTCTCTCTCTTCATATTTATCTTTAAACGCTTGGGTGTTAGCCGGAAATTGAGTAAATGGTTCACTTTTCTTTCTCTTTACTATCTCCCGATCACGATCAACAATTTCTTCTAAGGTAGAAGAGGAAAAATTATTACCAATATAAGGTATTGACAAAAGAAAATAGTCAAGATCTCTCTCATAAAGAATTCTTTCATATTTTGCTAATAGTTTCTGTTTAGCCTCCTCTGAGGGGGTTTTCTGAGTAGATACTTGCTGAGTAAAATAGTAAATTCCAGCACCTAGTCCAACCACTAAAATTACTCCTAAAATTATTCAGAGTCAGTATTTAGATAGATCTCTCTCTCTCTATTAAAATTTGATTCATGATTCATTATATTAATAGTATTTTATCTCTAATAGTAAAATACAAATTATAATTTATGAGTGAAAAAGTTAAGTTTACTACTGATTATGTTAGACAAAGTTGGTTAGATATTTTTCAACAAAAAGGTTATTATTTGTTAGAACCGGCTTCCTTGATTCCTGAAAGCGATCCTTCTTTGTTGTGAATTAATTCAGGAGTTGCCACTTTGAAAAAGTATTTTAATAATCCTTCCTTGGCACCGGCTCGTAATTTAGTTAACTGCCAACGAGTAATCCGCACAGATGATTTAACGAATATTAACTCCCAATCTTATCATCAAACTTTGTTTGAAATGTTGGGCGATTTTTCAATTGGAGGAAATTTCAAGAAAGAAGTAATTCCAATTACGTGGGAATGATTTACTTCACCTCAATGGCTAGGAATGGATCCTCAAAGGATTTTTGTTACAGTTTTACCCGAGGATAAAGTAACTTATCAAATTTGAAAAGAACAAAAAAGTTTGGCAAGTAATCATATTATTTTTGGAACTAAAAAAACTAATTTTTGGGACATGGGCGATGGTCCCTGCGGACCTTGCACCGAATTTTTTTATGATTTAGTTCCTACCCCTTCGCTACCTAAAAATATTGTTGATTTAGATAATAAAAGATTTATTGAGATTGGAAATATTGTTTTTTCTGAATTTTATCATAAAGATAAAGATTATTTGCCTTTGGAGCAAAAATGTGTTGATTTTGGCGGTGGTTTAGAGCGGATTGTAATGTGTTTGCAAGGAAAGAAAAATACTTTCGAGATTGACCTATGGGAAGCAGTTATCAAATTGATTAGTAGTTATCACAAAGAAAAAGATTTTGAAAAATTTAAAGGTGATTATTATGTTATGGCAGATCATTTACGCACCGCTATTTTTGCTTTAGCAGATGGGGCGATTTTTGAACCAAAGGGACGTGGTTATATTCTCAAAAAATTAGTAAAAAAAACTGTTTTATTAGCTCGCTTTCTTAATTTAAATAATGAAAATTTGCAAGAAATTATTGAAATGTTGATCAAAGTAAATTGCTCTTATTATTCTCATTTAAATAAAAAGAAAGAATTAATAATTAGTGAATTAAAAAAAGAAATAGATAAAAATTTCAATTTCATTGATAAGTCAATTAAAGAATTAAATAATTATTATTCTCCTGCAATTACTGCTGAAAATATATTTTTTTGGTATGACACTCAAGGAATTCCATTAGAATTAATTCGTTTTTATTTAGAAGGAAAGAGACATAATTTTCCCGAAAAAGAATTTAATAATTTACTAACAAAACAAAAAGAGAGAAGTTTAAAGGATAGAAAAAAGAAAAATTTCTCAGTTTTTAACTAGTTTAAAGAGAGATTAATTAAGCAGATTATTAACTGATAATTTCTTAGTTAACCTATCCAACATAAGGGGAAATTTCTGCTGATTGTTAAAATTATTTACTTTTTCAATTCTTTTTAGTTTCTTTTATTTTCTTATTCTCAATGTTTTAAAACAAGTGGTACTAATAAGATTGATTTCCTTTCCGTTATGCTTAGAAAGAAATTTATGTAAGACCTGTTCTTTTTGTTAAAAAAATGTCTTTTCACTAGTTCTTTTTCTTGCCAATTTAGAATATTTTTCTCTTTCAAAAAACCCTTCTCCGATCGGTATCAATTGCCCTGTAATTAAACTTTCTTTAGCTCCTTTTAAATAGTCGATTGGATTATGTAAGGAATAATTAATTAGACTTTTTATAGTATTTTGAAAGGAAATACCAGCTAGAAAAGATTCAGGAGTAGAAGCTAGATCTTTAAGACTGGAAATAATATTCTTAAAAATAATGGGTTTTTTCCCATTTTTTATTAGCACTTGATTTGTTTTTTGTACCTTTTGATAATTTGCTATGTCTCCGATTAAATAATCGCTATCTCCATTGTCTTCGATCTTGACCCTTGATAACATTTGCCGAGCGAAAATTTCGATATGCTTTTCATTGATATCAATTCCTTGATTGTTATAAACACTTCTTATTTCTTCTTTAATATAGTTTTGACAGATATCTCTTCCCATAATTTCAAGATATTCTTCTAAATCTATACTCCCGCCGGTAATTTTATCGCCTTTCTTTACTATACTCCCTTGATTGACTCTAACGTTTTTTTTGTTGCTTAACGAATAAATTATATCTTTTTCGGCTCCTTGGACTTTTTGCCTAACTATGTCTTTTTCAACCCCTGTTATTGTCCCTTCTTTTTTAGCGAGGATGGCTTTTTCTTCTTTTTCGGGTTTAATATTATCAAATATTTCTTTCACTTTTGGTAAACCTTGGGTGATATCTTCTTCTCCTGAAATTCCCCCCCCATGGAAAGTTCTCATGGTTAATTGGGTGCCGGGTTCGCCAAGAGATTGGGCGGCAATGATTCCGACAGCTACTCCAATTTTTACTTCCTCTCCTACTTTACTTAAGTCTAAACCATAACACTTTTGGCAGATGTTTTCGACTAATTCACAGTTTAAAGGAGAGCGAATTCAAATAGCATTTATTTTTCCTTTATTGATGATCTTTATTTCATTTTCTAATAATAAAGTATTGCGAGTTAAGATTATTTCTTTTTTATTGTTAATAACATCAGAAGCTAAGTAGCGTCCATATACCCTTTTGATGAGCGGAAATTCATCGCTTTCCTCTACTAACGAACCAGTACTTGTTTGGCAATCAGAAGCACTGATAATGATAGTTTGGCTAGCTTCAACCAATCGACGAGTTAGATAACCAGCTTCAGCTGTTTTTAAAGCAATGTCAATCATTCCTTTCATTGCCCCATAGACTGAAATAAAGAATTCGAATGGTGATAAGCCTTCTCTTAGAGAAGAAGTTATAGGTGTTTCGAGGGTTTCGCCTAAATAGTTAGTAGTTAATCCTCTCATGGCAAAGATTTGGGTCAAATTTTCGCTACTTGCTCTAGCTCCTGAATCTCAAATGTGATGGAGAGAAGTATAATTCTTTTTTTCTAAACTGTTAATTAATTTTTCTTGAAGTTGATCTTTGCACTCTTGCCAAATATTAATTTTTGTTTGCTTGTATTCTTTTTCGTTGTAAAGACCTTGTAGATAATGTTGGTCGGTTTGTTTAATCTTCTCATTAGTTTGTTTCAACAAGTTTTTTTTATCAATTAATTCTTCTATTTCGAAAGGTGAAATGCTAATTCCAGAGTAAGTAGCATAATTAAAACCCAATTCTTTTAGTTTATCAAGAAATTCTATCATTTTCCCACGCGGAGTTATTTTTGTTAATTTATTGAGAAAGGTAAGGATATCTTTTTTTCTTCAACCATTAAGAGGAAGGTATTTTTTTCAGGCTTTTTCGATTTCTTCTATTTTTTTTATTATTTCGTTGCATTCTTCTTTACCTTCATTGTAGTTTCTTAAGTCGTTGATGTAGAAAGGAAAGGTTGATGGCAAGGTTTGATTAAAAATTAGTTTTCCTAAGGTAGTGAAGAGAAATTGATTTTTTACATCAGTGAAATTTCTTTCTACTAAGCAAGCCGGAATAATAATTAAATCATGCAAATTTATTTTATTTTCATGATAACTTTTCTTGATCTCGCTTATTTTGTCAAAAAAAAGTATCTCTTGGGATTTATTCTCTTTAGTTAGGTAATAGATACCTAAAATCATATCTTGAGAAGGAATGGTTATTAATTGACCGTTTTTTGGATCAAGAATGTGATGAGGAGATAAAATACAATTTTTAACTTCTTCGCGAGCTTTTTTAGTTAGGGGTAAATGTATAGCAGTTTGATCTCCGTCAAAATCAGCGTTTAAAGGAATAGTTATTTTTGGATGAAGTCCAATAGCTTTGTCAAGAGTTAGTTTTGGATAAAAGCCTTGGATACTTAAACGATGTAAACTAGGAGCACGATTAATTAAGACAGGGTGGCTTTGAACAATTTCGCTTAAGGAAGAAAAAACAACAGGATCTTCTTGAGATATTAATTGTTCAGCTTCTTTTAAGGTAAAGGCTTTTTTATCTTTTAATATTTTTTGAATAATAAATGGTTTAAAAAGCGTTAGTGCTATATTTATTGGTAATCCTACTTGATCAAGTGAAAGGCTAGGATTAGGAATAATCACTGAGCGTGCTGAGTAATCTACTCTTTTTCCTAGCGAATGACGACGCAGTATTCCTTCTTTACCGCTTAGGCTTTGTGATAAACTTTTGCTATTGTTCCGTTTGTTAGGAGAAGTATGTATTAATTGGTCTACTGCTTTTTGTAATCTTTTTTTTTCATTATGGATAATTTCGCTAAAAAAAACTTTAAGTTTTTTGTTCATTTCGAGGTAGTAGTTTAACCGTTCGTTAGTTAAAATTACTTTCCGGTAAGAATTATTATCTTTGCTGGTAGCGATGGTTTCTTCGTCTTCTAGTTTAGTTACTGGTCGTAGACCGCAAGGAATTAAAGGAAGGTTATGAAGAATCATTCATTCCAAGTTTATTCCGTTTTTTCGTAGATCTTCCAAAAACCTTATACTTTCATTTTTGCCTTTGGATGTTTCTTTTTTATTAATTCCTTTGAGGTTTGAGAGTTCTTTATCTATGTCAATTTCTTTCAATAATTGTTGGAAAGCTTCTGTACCAATCCTAATTTTTACTTGCCGATGTTTTTCTAGGAAATCTAGATAATCTTCTAAAAATACTGCACTTATTTCTGATTTTTGTTTTTTTTCTTTTTCACTAATTTTTTCAATTAATTTTTTAGCTTGATTAGTAACGCTTTTTTCCAAGTTTTTATCTTCGAAAATCTCTTGTAAAATATTTCTGATTAGGTTAATGTCTATTTTTTTTCCCAAAATTTCTCTTTTTTTTAGCAAATTGGTTAGGCCATTATCAATTACTACATAATTTCGAAAGTAAATGATGTCTTCTAAACTCTTAGTTGGAATTTTTAGTAATTTGCTTAGATTAGTAGCTAAATTTTTAAAAATTAAGATATTAGTTACTGGCGAGGTAAGAGTGATGTGACCCATTCGTCAGCGTTGCACATTTTTTTCAGTTATTAAAGTTTCGCATCTTTCACATTTTTGTCCTTTATTTTGTTTACCTTTATATTTTCCACAGTAGCATTCATAGTTCAGAAAGGGACCAAAAACACGGGGATCAAAGAGACCACCTAGTTCTGGTTTGAGGGTTCTGGTATTTATTGTTTTGTGATTAGTTATTTTACCGAAAGAAATTTGTTCGATTTTTTGGGGCGAAAGCCAAGTAACTTTTATAGATTTTATTACTGCCATATTTTTTAATTATTTTTGCTAAAATATTTATAAAAGTCTATTTCTCTACCTTGATGGTCGGTAGCAATAAGATTGAAACCAATGCCGCGTAAATATTGAATTAGAAGATTAAATGATTCATTTTGACTACTGCGAAGATCGGTTTGGCGATCTCCGAAAAGTAATTCGTTTTGTATTAGCCGACGCTTGTGAATATCATCAGATTTAGGACCCATCATTTCCGCTAGATTGTAGGGAGCTCCGTGAGCTTCTAAGCATCATCCTTCCATTTCTCCTGTTCTTTGTCCTCCATTTTGTGCTCGACCTTTCAAGGGTTGTTGATAAATCAGCGAATAAGGAAATTCAGGGCCGGCACCTCGGGCATGAATTTTATCGGTTACTTTATGATTTAGAGCAAATGCATAAACAAAACCACAAAAAACAGGTTGTTGGAAGGGTAGACCGGTTTGACCATCAAATAATTTTTGAAATCCAAAGTCTTTTATTTTAGCTTCTGAAATAATTTCTTTAATTATTTCTAAAGATAAGTTATTAAAAGGTCGAACGAGTAGTTTGGTGTTAAGTCTATAAGCTGCTAGGGAAAGTATTGTTTCTAATAGTTGTCCGATATTCATTCGGGTTGGAATACCAAGAGGATTTAAGATTATATCAAAGGTCTTTCCTTCTTCATCAAATGGCATATCGCTTTCAGGGATAATTTTGCCGACTACTCCTTTACTTCCAAAGCGGGTGGTAAGTTTGTCTCCCGGCTCAATTTTTCTTTCTTGTACTATATAAACTTCTACCATTTCCAATTCATTTTTTTTTTTCAGTTCTTTTCTTCTCACCTCATAAACTATTCCTTCTTCTCCATGGGGCAAACGAAGTGATGAGTTAACAAATTTTTGAGCTTTTTCTCCTAAAATGCTCATTAATAATAGTTCTTCTTCGGTTTCTTGATGCAATCTTGGATCAGGTGTTAATTTGCCAACTAAAATGTCATTTTCTTTTACTTTGCTACCAATTTTTATTATTCCGTCTTTTCCAAGGTTTGGAAATTGCTTTGCTCCAGTGTGGGGAAAAGAAGAGGTAAAAATTTCCGGACCGTGTTTAGTATTACGGCGGATAATGGTGTGTTTCTTCACGAAAAATGAAGTAAGAATGTCTTTTTTGATTAAGTTTTCGTTGATTATAATAGCGTCTTCATAGTTGTATCCCCTTAAACATAAATAAGCTACCCGTAGATTATATCCAAGGGCTAATTCGCCATTTTTAAAACATTTGTCACAAGCGATGATTTGTCCTTTTTCAACTTTATCACCTTTTTTTACTAGAGGGAAAGATGAGTCCAGGGTGTTTTTATTAGAGGCTACTAACTGTTTTAATTTATAGATTCTTTCTTTATTGTTAGTTTCTTTGATAATAATTTGTTGACTGTCTACGTATTTTACTTCTCCTTTTTCCTCAGCGTTAATTGTTAAGGGAGAATTTTTAAGTAGGCTTGGTTCTATCCCGCTTGATACCAGCGGTTCTTGATTGGAAAGTAGAGGAAGGGCTTGCCGTTGCATGTTCGCTGCCATTAATATTCTGGTTGCGTCATTGTGGGAAAAAAAAGGAATTGCAGCAGTAGTTAGTGAATTAAGATGATGAAAGGAACTGTAAATATAATTTACTTTTTCTTTCGATACTAGTAAAAAATTCCCTTGATAGGTAACAGGTACTATTGAGTCAATAATTTCATTTTTTTCGTTAATTTTTATATTGGGATGAGTTACGTATTGATCTCATTCTTCTTCACTGGTTAAGTAAACCAATTTATCAGTGATTATTCCTTGTTTAACAAGATAATAAGACGTTTCTACTTGCCCTTCATCATTTATTTCTGCGTCAATAGTTAGATTGTGAACAAGACCGACTCTTTGTCCTTCTGGAGTTTCTACCAGATCATAGCGTCCGCAATAAGAAGGATTGATATTACGAGCCTCTAAAGTGGTATTAGCTGATTTAAATCCTCCTCGGCCTAGGACACTAAGTTTTCTTGAATAGGAAGCTCGTGCTAAGGGATTATTTTGATTTTGTAATTGAACTAAAGCGGAAGTATTAAAAAAATGACGAATAAAGTTGTCAAAATCGTTTAAGTTAGGAATTTTCATTAAGTCAGCTTTCTTTAATTGAGAAATATTAGACAAATATTTATTGTCAATGTCTTGCAAAAAACTGCCTAATTTATTATCAAATATGTTGTAGACTAGATCACCTACACGACGAATGATTTGATTTTCTAATTTATCTTTTTCTTCTTCTTTTTCGATTTTACCTAAATCATGGTATAAATTGATATGGTTGGAAACAGCACAGATTAGGTCAGCTAAGTCAAAAAAAGTTTTTTCTTCTGGAGGAATTTCTTCCATGCCGATCAAAGATAAAAAGTTTTTTTTGTTCTTTGGCGATTGTATTTTAATTACATATAATTTATGGTTAGCATGGGGAACTGTAAAACCGGCCAATTTTTTATTTTTAAAACTTTGTCGGAGAAGTTGAAATTTTTCTCCTGCTAAGATAGTATTTTTTTTTAGGATTATTTTTCCATTTTCATCACGTAAGTCTTCAACTAAAGTTTGATCTTGTAAATACTGAAAAATGTCTATTTTTTGGCTAAATTTTCTCCTTCCGAGTTTTCCAATATCAAAGTAAGAATTTTTCTTAGTAAATAAGAATTGTGGCAAACTTTCTCCTATTTCTAGTGGTTTAATTGCTTGGTAATCTTCAATATTTAAATCTTCTGGATTAAAAAATTGTTTCAAGAGTTCTGGGCTGACAGCGAAAGTTTTTAGTATATCTAATAGATTAATGCTTATTCCTGAATTAAGAAATTTTAGTTCAATATTTCGGGCTTTTTTGGCGCTATATGAAATATTAATTCACGGACCCTTAAAAGGGATTATTTCGCTGTAGAAAGCATTTTGTTTTTCAGTAGCAAAATGGTAGATTGTAGGAGCTCTTACTGATTGAAGTACTACTACCTTTTCGTGACCGTTAATAATGAAAGTTCCTTGGGGATTTATTTTTGGTAAATGACAAAAAACTACTTTTTGGTCTTGTTCACAGTGAAATTTAACAGTTAAATTATCGTTTTCAGTTTCTAATATTTCAAGTAATATTTTTAACTTAGACTTGTTTTCTTTTATTTCTCATTTTTGAGAAGATTTTTGTTTCAAACTGAAAGTTCCAATTTTAAAACTTGCTTTTACTCATTCACTAATGCTTTCGCTTAGTTCTTCTTTTTCTTGAAGATTAATTTGCATTTTGTGACAGTCTCAAATAACTGCTCAATTAAAAGAAATAGTATGGTTTCAAGTAAGAGCTTCGTTTTTTGCTTCTTCCTCGCTAATCTCGGGCTCGTGGCATTCGATTTCTTCAATTTTTATTTTAACGTTGTTATTATAATCGCTGAATTCGGCAGGAAAGTAAAAATTTAGCAGTTTGGGTAATTTTTCATAGAGAAGGTTATGATAGGATAATTTTTGCTCTTGGGCAAAATCCCGGTCTGGTAGACTTTTAAAAAGCGGTGAACGATTAAGAGCAAGATATTCACGACGCTCGTTTTTTCCAGAAGTGATTAGACGGTATGGTAACATTAATTAAAATTGCTTAAATACTATTTAGTTTCGACTTTAGCTCCTTTGTCTACTAGTCGTTTTTTGTATTCTTCGGCTTTTGCTTTGGGAATATTTTCTAAGATTGGCTTTTTTTGGTCAACCATTTGTTTTGCATTAACAATGTTTATTTGTTTGTCACCTGCACTATTAACAATATCTTTTATTTCCCCATAAACTTTAATTGGTTGGGCACCAACTTCTAATATATGCAGGGAAACATTGCCTCCTCCTTCTTCGGCTTTTTCTTCGCTTTTGGTTGGTGTTGTTGCTTGAACTACTGCTTGTTCTTGAATATTAAACTTGTGTTTTATTCACTCTATCAATTCGCTTATCTGTCCCACATTTCATTTTTCAATTTTTTCTCCAACTTCGTTTACCTCTTTGCTAGTTTTTATTTCTGACATATTTTATTTTTTTGCTTCTTTTGTTAATTTAGTTTTTTCTAAGATGTTAATGAGCCTTCTAGTATGAAAGTTTAAATAATAGCATAAAGTATTCATTAATACTTCTTTGCTAGGTAAAATGGCTCATTTTTCTAACAAAGTATTTTCTACTAGTTGCTGGTTGTAAATACCGCCTTGAAACCGTTTAATATCAGGATGTTTCTTGTTGAATTGATTAAGAATGCTTAGTGGTTTATACTCATCCTCTTTGCAGAAAATAAGAGCGTTAGCTTGCTTTAAATTTAGAGAATAATCACTGAGAGCCTTTTTCACTAAGTTATTTTTATAAACTTTTCAGTGACTGCCAACTTTTTCTAAATCTTTTTTTAAGCGAAAGATTTCTCTGTTTTCAGTTTGGTGAAAGTTATAGAAAATGACTGCCTTAGAATTATGAAAATTATTTTGGATGTCTTGAACGAGGATTTTTTTTTGATCGAGAGAAGACATAAATTCCTATAATATATATATTTTATCTCCTTCGAGAGTTTTTGTTTAAATTATATATTAATAAAATGATAAAAGTTAGTCCAATTCCGATACAAGAAAATAAAATAATCTTTTCTCACGGAGTTTCAGAATTTTGATTTAAGTCATTGTTATTAATAGATTCTTTAAGTTCTCGATTTAGTTGTTGGGCTCGTGATTTATGTTCTTGATAAAAAATGTTCTTGCTTTTAAGGAATTTTCTTAATAATTTTTGTAATCTTAGTTTTTCATCTTTATTGCTACTGGATAAAACTTTACGAATTTGGGTTTCTAAATTATCTAAGGTTTTTTTTGCTGCTGTAGTACCGATTATTAAGGTTAATCTTAGTTCTGCCACTTGGATTTTGGTGGCTTGAACTAGCGAACCGTTTTTTAATTGTTGTCAAGTAGTTTGGTCTGTGGTTGATAATTCTTCAATAGTTAAATTATTAGCGTTTAATTGATTTTCAATTTCTCCAATTACTGCTTGACGAAGTTGAGTAGGATTATTAGTTAATTGTTGTATAATTAGATTTAGTTTAGTTTTATTTTCAGGACTGATAAACCCTTGGATTTTACCAGCCTCTTTAAGAGCAACAATTTTATCTTGCTCGGAAGCACTTGAAGAACAAGCGGTATTCAGTAAATTAGTGAAGTTGTTAAGTTTTGGAGCGTCGTCGTTTTCAGGGCTTTCACTAGTTTTTTGAATAGTGATTACATTAGAAGCATTTGGATGCCTAAAAAACACTTCTAGCCTTCTACTTTCCGCGAACAAAGATATTTTTGGTTTATCTTCGGTGGGATCATTAAGTAGATGATTGACAAAGAAATAAATTTTAGATAACTTGAAACTTAATTCAAATTCTTCATCTTCGCTATCGGCGAGGCAGTTTCAAACTTCCGAATTTACCTGTTGATTATTAAAAATGAAAACGATTTCTGAAAGGGGACCATCTTGGGGTCTGCCATGAATAAGTTCTAAACTGGGAAACAAAGTAGACATTAAAAAAATCGTTTGAATTTTACAACTTATAAAGTTGTTAGTAGACAACTCGCTTTCTGCCAAAGTTTCTTTTGCTTCTTTTACCGTAAATTTAATTTTTATTTCTTTGTTCTTTCACTCATTAGCAATTTTGCCATGGAGTTGATTTTCATATTGATTAATCTCTTCCCTAGTGTTATAATTTGTAAAGTTGGTTTCTCAATCGGTTCCCAACACTGTCGTTATGCTCTTGTTATTAATAGTGCCAGTTTCAGTTCGGTCGTTGGAATTAATTTTTCATTTTTTTTTAATTCTTTGAATGGCCTTTTGACGGAGTATTGCTGGATCAAAATTTTTTTCGCTTGCTTTTCAACTAAATGCGAATGGTGCTTTTGCATTGTTTAGTTCTATATTCAACCTTTGTGCTCCTTCCTCTAGAGAAACATTAATCCTTTTTGGATCTCGTGAAAAAAAACTCCTAATGGGGTGTCCTTTTGGATAAAGGACAAGTTGCATTTCTTCATCTTCCAAACTCAGTTCCAAATTTTCGCCGATTAGATTCTTTCACTCATCCGCTCAGATCTGCACCCTAGGGTTGTCTGACTCGCTTAAAGGATTTTCTATAACAACATGTTTTACTTCTCATTCAACTCACTTATTTGCTGTTCTGTTTTCCGTAAAAGTTCCTGCGGTATTAAAAATTATAGGGGAGTCAAATTCTAATCAAACAATATTTTTATCGTTGCTTAAATTGACCCCTTTTAATGTGGAAAATTGGATTTTTCTTGCCATTATATATATATATATATATATTGTTTTACACGTTTTTTATAATGATACTTTTAATCCTGGTCCCATGGTGGTTGATAAAGTGATGGTGCGAAAGAAAGCCCCTTTTCACCCTTTTGGTTTTAGACTAGTTATTTTGTTATACAAACTTTTGTAGTTTTCTTCTAAGGCTCCCAAACTAAAATCATTTTTTCCTAATACGGTGTGAATATTGCCTCCTTTATCGGTTTTTATTTCTCGTTCTCCTTGACTAAATTTATTTACTTCCTCTAAAATATTTTCAGTTAATAGACCATTTTTTTTAGTAGGATAAGCCCCTTTTGGTCCTAGTATTTTTTCTAATGGTTTAATTTTTGTTTCACTTTCGGGATGGGCTAATAGTTTGGTGAATCCTCATTGAGATTTTCTCTTAATTTTCCCGTTCTCTTTTTTTACTCTTGCCTGTAATTCGGAAGCAGTTAATAATTCAATGTTACTTTTTTTTTGAAGATCCTCAATAAGAGGTTGGGGTAAATTTTCTTTGATGATTGCTAAATTACTTTGTGGTGGAAGCGGGTTAGGAAAAATAATTTTTCCCTTTAAGACATTTTTGCTTTTTTGCTTAACTCAATTTAATGAGAAACTAACTTCAATGTTTTTTGATTTTTCTTCGTGATGATCTTGTAGAAATTTTATTCCTTCGGAGATTGAATAAGTTTTACCACTGGGAATTTGCTCCCTTATTTTACGATAACGACGAGAATGTTTCATTTTTGATATATAATTTTATTCGTTTACTTTGATGCCGAAACTTCGAACTGTACCAATTACAGTTTTTTCAGCTTGTTCGTAATTTTCGGTGTTTAAATCTTTTAATTTTTCTTGAACTATTTTTTTAATTTCTGATTTACTGATTTCTTTTTTTCTAGTTTCTTTTGCTTCGCCAACTATTTTTTTGATTAAGTTTGAAGTCACGCTTCCTTCGATAAAAAATTGGTATGAATTTTCTTTGACAACTACTCGTACATTAGTGGTTTTTCAACTTTCTATTTCTTTTGTCTTTTCATTGAATTCTTTACAAAATTTCATTGCGTTTTTTCCTAAAAAAGCAAGTTTTTGACCCGGTCTAGCTTGTCCAGGAGGCAATTGTAATTTCCAAGTCAAATGTTTTTTTTTCATATAATATATAATTTTTATTGTTTGCTTGAAAGTAAATTGGTAGGACTAGGTGGACTTGAACCACCGACCTCACCCTTATAAGGGGTGTGTTTTCACCAACTCAACTATAGTCCCGTTTCAATATTGCTATAAAATTTTTTACCAATCAATGCTTGTTCTATTTTATTATAGTAGTCTATTTCTTCTTGATTGTTCAAAAAATAAGGGATCAATGGTTTTCAGAAACTTTTTTCTTCTTCTATTCTTAGTTCTAGGTTACCCTTTACGAGGTTTTTTATGGTATCTATTTCTTCTTTATGGCAAGAAGAGAGTTCTCCTTTTTTCTCGTCAAAAAATACTTTTTCCCAAATGTCGCTTGGCAAGGAAGTGAGAAGATAATCTTCAAGGCTCTTGTTGGTTTTTTTTAAACTTATTATTTTTAGACTATAAATTAACTGAAAGTAATTAGAAAAAGAAGAAAGAGGTAGTTTTTTTAGTTTAAATTTTTTTACTAGTTCTTCAACATATTTATCGTTTTCTCCTTCTAAATAAAGCAGAACGCCAAAAGAACCTTGATAAAAGTTTCGAAAAAAAGAAGTTTCTTTATCTTTTTTAACTTTTTCTCAGATTTGATATACTTTTTCCTTTGAAAATTGATTTTCTCGAGCAATGCTTAGCGATTTTTCGTTAACTTCGCCTTCTTCTTTGATAATACTTTCAATTTTTTTTCGCAGTTTTAGAAAAAGTTTAGACCGTGCTTCATCTTGCCTATCTTTTCGATACTTAACATTTGCTGAATGAGAGTGACCTGCCATAATAAATATTTAGAATTTTTTTTTTTTTTTTTTTTGACAAAGAGAAAAAAGAAAAAGGCAACGGTTAATAATAGCACAACTAAAAGCCATTTTTCTTTTTGGTTAGGAGAAGAAGGTGCTTTGCTTGGTGAATTTGGTAAATAATTGGGATTGTCGGCAAGAGAAAATCAACTATCATCACTGTATTCATTTTTGAGGTTGAAAAGAGAAATATGAAGTTTATTTTGATTGTTTTCTAATTCAATTATTGGACCGTTTTCTGAACTTCCGGTCCTCTCTGAAAAATAAATAGTTACGAGTTTTGAAGGTAAAAATTTAGTCAAATATTTCTGGTAAGTATCATCGTCAAGAAGCCTCCCGAAGCCAATGTCAAGTTGGTTAAGTTCTAGTTCTCTACTAATCTTTAATGGTTCAATTTTTATTTCTAACTTTCCTTTTTCTTTATTTCATTTTATTCCATTTTTGAGAGGGACTGCGGTTAGAGAACTGCTTATAAAACGGGTTTTTTCAAATCTTCAATAAACTTTTCCTACTCATTTTATTTTTTTTTCTGCTTCATTGATTTTAGCCTGAGGATAATAACTGCTTTCTGGTTGATCTTCCCATCACCATATTTTTCAAATATATTTTTTTAAACTTTGAACTCCTTCTTCACTTAGTAATGATAGGTTTTCAAATTCAATATAACTGTTAGTATAAATTTCTAGTTGAGTAATACTCTTGTCTTGAAAGATAAAAGGTTTAGTGGTAATTAAATATTTACGACCATAATATTTACCACTTTCTTCATCCTGAATACCAATTCCGCTCGTCTCTTGTATTGTTTCAAGGATAAATTGAATTTCCTTTTTTTCCATGACATATAGTTAAGGTTAGCGTTTAGAGTATTGGGTAGGTCGTCGAGAGGTTTTAAAGCCAATATGCTCTCGTTCTTTCTTTCTAGGATCAGTTTTTAGTAAAGAGAAACTTTTTAGAGTTGGTTTATATTCTGGAGAAATTTTTAATAAGGCTCGCGCTATACCTAATCTAATTGCTTCAGCTTGGCTATGGAATCCACTTCCTTTTACTCTTACTATTAAGTCATAATCTTTTTCTTTGTTAAACAATTTAAGTGGTTTAAAAATATCTTTGCATAGGGATGGTTCCATGTAAAAGTAATCTTCTAATTTTTTTTCTTTTCCTTGTTTAGTTCGAACTTGAACTTGTCCTTTTCCTTCTTTTAGGTAAACACGAGCAGTTGCTTCTTTCCGCCGTCCTACTCCAATATAATAGTTATTGTTCATTATTCACTTATGTTTTAATAAAAATAAAATCTTTTTCTTGGGCTTGTTGTAAGTGGTTATTTTCTGGATAAATAAATAATCTTTTTAGTTGCTTCCTTCCTAATTTAGTGTGAGGCATCATACCTTTAATAATGCGAAAAACTAATTCGCGAGGATATTTTTCAAGCATTATTTTAGTGCTCCTAGTTCGTAATCCTCCTGGATAACCTGAATGGTTGTAATAGTTTTTATTATCTAATTTGTTGCCGGTAAAAGCAATATGTTTAGCGTTAGTTAATACTACATAACTACCCAAGTCTAAATTAGGTAAAAAAACTTTCTTATTTTTCCCCCTTAATATTTCTACAACGCGGGGAGCAATTTTTCCTGCTATTTTATTTTTTAAGTCAAGTAGGTATCAAGAACGAGTAGTATGAGTGAGCGAAGGAATGGTAGTATTTTGTAGTTGCTTGCTCTCTTTTTTTGCTGCGATAAGATCCATATATATTATTTTGTTAGAATATGAAAAATTTATTTGTTTGTTTTGACCCAAGTATGTTTTTTAAAAAATTCGTTTACTTGTTTTTTTTCTTCGGGAGTAACGTTTTCTTTGTCACTATTTTGATAGTCGGGATCGGCTTCATCTTTAACGGGGATTAAAAAGAATTTAGAAAGCATGTATTTAATGGCATAGGTTTCGCTAGACCCTTTAGCTTTAGCTAAATCCACATTACTACCACAGGCTCAAAAATTAAAAGTCAGTTTATTTTTTGGGATTTCAGCATCTACTATCGGTGTCCCTTTATGAGATAAAGAATTTTCAATAGTTTCACAGTCAACTATTTCCAATTTTTTTAAATATTTCACCATGTGCTCCTTGCCATCTTTTTCGTGAAGGAAAGGTTGACTAATATCATCACTTAGTAAAATAACTAACTTATATTTTTCTAGCAAAGGTTTTAGCAATTGGAGAACTTGTAATTCATTGAAAAAAAAATACTTTTGAAATTTATTTTCCTCCGTGCGAGTAAGTTCTTTAATTTCATTCTGAATTTTTTGCAGTTTAACGTGAATATTCATTTTTCATTATTTTTGCTAATTTTTAAAGTTGGGTTAGTAGTTTTTTTGCTGTCTTTCTCAATTGATTTTATTCTTTTTCATATAAGCATTGTAGATGTCATTTTCACTGGTCATTCCTAGTTTATAGGCCAATTCTTCAAAAATTATTAGTCAATGGTAAAAACAAGTTTTATTTTTCTCAACTTCAATTTCCTCTAAAAAACTGCTGAACATTTTTTCAAGTTCTTTTTTAGTTATTTCTTTTACCTCTTTTATTTTCTGTAAACTTTTTTCGTAGTCTTTATCGTCAGGATTTAATTTACTTATGCCTTCTTCATAGTTTTTTTCATGGTCAGCAATCATTTTTGGTTTAAGGACTTTTCAAGGAACATTTAAACTAAACTTTTCTGTTTCGGAAAAGAAGGCTAACAGCAATTCATTTTCATTAGGATCAGCAATTAATTTTTTAAATTTGTAATCCTCAAAGTCAATTCCGAAGTTGTTGGCTCAACTTAGATAAAAATGTAAACAATCAATCAATTCTTCCTTAGCTTTTTGTAAATCATTGGGGCTTTTTTCAGCCAGTGATCTTTTATTTTTTTTTCAATGTTTAAAAGTTTCTAATTCATTAGCTAATTCTCCAATCTCAACTAAAAGAGCAATTTTGGTGCGGATAAAACTTTCCCTAGTTTTAATATCGGTTAGATTATTTTTTTTGACAATAAATTCATCTAATTTTTCTTGTGCGATTTGTAGTTTTTTTATAGTTTTTAGTGTTAGCATTTTATAGAGTTTTAAGGCAACTTACTATAAAGTGTTTCTTTTCTTAGGGCAGTTATTTTTTAAACCAAAATTTTTTCAACCTTTGATATTCTTTTACATTTTTTTTAATCAACTCCCTCATTTTTCTAGTATATTCGTAATGCAAATTTCCGTGTCCGCCCTCATCATCACCATTTTTATCCTTACCTTCTCGGTAAGAAACTTTTATAGTATTAATTATCGCATGAGCTAACTCGTGAGCAATTGTTTCAATTAAGTGTTCTCAATCAAGTCTCATGCTACCGGTAAATTTTCCATCTTTTTTGTTTCACCAAATTCCACAGTCTTTTCCTCTCCTGCTGAATGGAAATCTTGCATCAAGGGTTATTATTATCTCGCGGCGTGGGCATACTAAAAGTTTTCCATCAGAAGTTTTTAATGCTTGAGTATGAGTGGTTAAACCTATGGTTGCACTTCCTTTTGTTATATCTCACTTTTTGTGTCATCCACCAAAACCTTTTCAAACAACCTCCATTTCATCATCAAGTTTTTGACCATAAATCCTATAATTTTCACTTTTTAATTCTTCAATTCTTTTATCAATTTCTGCTTGAGGGGTTTTAGTAGCTACTTGCTTTTGTTCTCCGTTTTCAATTATTCATGCTGGTTGAGCAATTATTGATTTAGCGAGGTTATTGGCGGTCATAAATTTATCATAAAAAATTTTCATAAATCTATTAATCTCATTAAATATTTCTTCATCTTCTTCGTTTTTTGGTCCTATTGGAAAGAAAGTATCCTTGTCTTTTGGTTTGTTAGATTTTTCTTTGAAACCATGAGGGTAAAATTCATCAAATCATTTTCACTGCTCTTTTCAAATATTTTCTTTTTGTGAGTCAGTTCATGGTGCAATTATATTTTCTAATTTACCGAGTGAGTCTTGTATTTGTAGAATTTTGAGAACAGTATCTTTTCTTACTTGGTCAGGCATGTCCTCTAACTTTTCTTGATTTAAACTCTCATCTATTTTATTATTAGTTATTTCTTCTAATACTTCCTTAAACCCTTTTCTCTGTTTTGAGGTTAATTTAGTACTAGGATCGTTTAATTTTTCAGTTAAATATTTTTTTCCTAGAATATTATTTTCGTTCCAATTAACAATTGTATCATTGTTTTCTTCTTTATATTGAACCCCGCTATTATCTTTAATTTTAGTTATTTGCCTTTCTAATCGGCGGTTAGGTTCAGTAATGTATAGATAAGTACCTCCGGCAATTAAGAAAGTTAGAAAAAAGAATAAAATTAGGTAACTAGATAAATTACTTTTCCTTCTCTGTAAAGTTTTTTCAGGATTTTTCATATTGATCTTTTAAATAAATTTTAAGTAAGTTAATTTCGATTCTTTTTTGTTGCATTGTGTCTCTTTGGCGGCAGGTAATGGTTTGGTCTTGGAGAGTTTGAAAGTCAATAGTCAAACAATAATAAGTACCAATTGCGTCTTGGCGACGATAACTTTTACCAATGCTAGAAGCTTCTTCTCAAGTTAGGTTAAAAGGAGCAGTTTTTAATAAATCAAGGTAGAGGCGATAAGCTGTTTCTCTCACTTGTTTGCTTAGGGGAATAATGGCCACAAAATAAGGAGATAAGAGCGGATGTAAACGTAGAAAGGTGCGGGTTAATGGCGAATTTTTTAGTACTTCTTCATGATAACTATCTTCTAGAATTGCTAACATTAGTCTTTCTACTCCGAAAGAAACCTCAATAACTTGGGGAGTTATTTCCTGGCTGTTTTCCTTGACTCCTAAAAAGTGCTTAGAATGTTGACTATGTTGTTTTAAGTCAAAATTTCCGCGGTGGCTGTTGCTACATACTTCTCCTCAGCCAAACTTGTATTTAAAATATAAATCTAAAGTTTTTTTAGCATAATGCGGTAGTTCATCTTTTATTAAAGGAACTTGTTTTATTTTTTTTTGGTCATTGAGGATGATAGTAGATAAAAAATTTCAAGCCTTGGTGATCCAATAGTTTCATCATTTTTCACTTTCTTCTTCTCGACAAAAAAATTCTAATTCCATTTGTTCAAATTCGCGAGTGCGAAAGATTCCATGGTGGAGAGTAATTTCGTTGCGAAAACTTTTGCCGATTTGACCAATTCCAAAAGGTAATTGTCGATGAGTACTTTGTTGAATTGCCAAAAAATTAATGAATATTCCTTGGCACGTTTCCGGCCGCAGATAAACTAAATTTTTTTTATTTTCAGTTATTTCTAAGTTAGTAGTTAAGAGCAAATTAAATTTACGGGGAATAGTAAAATTACTTTTTTGGCATTGTGGACAGTTTTTGACAAGCCGATAATTTTCTTTATTTTCTTGCTGTAAAAAAGAATTAAATTCTTCCGACGCAAGTAAATTATCGAGCCGATACCTTTTCTGACAATTTAAACATTCTATTAATCAATCATGAAAATTTTTTTGATGTCCAGAAGCAACTAATACTTGGGGATGCGTGGTTATTAAACTATCGCAGCCGACATTATATGGGTTACTAGTAATAAAGTATTTCCATCAGAGATTTTTTAGGTTTCTTTTTAATTCAGTTCCAAGTGGACCTAAGTCTCACGAATTAGCTAGTCCATGGTAAATTTCAGCGTTAGGAATAAAAAAACCATAATGTTTTAAGTAGTTAGTAATGTTTTTCTCGTTCACTATTTGTTAAATTTTCTTTGATTTATGATGTACACGAGTTTTCGTAACAATCGAAACTAGAATGGTAATTATTAAACTGATTACTACTGCGGATGCAATTATTTTGGTTAAAGAAACTTCTTCAGGATGTTGCTGCTCTTTTTCTCCTTTTAATAATTGTAACAACTTATCTACTTTCTCCCTTTGTTTTTGATAAGATTTTTGCTGGTATTCGTTCCTAGAAATGGCTTCTAATATTTTATTGATTAATTCTTCTTTCTGATCGTTTGTTAAATCACTTTTTTCAATTTCTGTCTCAACGAAGATTATTGTTTTGTTTAATTCTTTATCAGCACCTTCTTGGATAATAGCTTCTTCAGCTTTTTGCTTTTTATCTATTTCGCCAGTTTCTATCGCCTCTTCAATTATTTTTATAGTTTCATTACTAAGATCTTCATTAACAAGTCCACAGTTTTTTATTTTTTCATCAAGTTCGCTTTTGATTGAAATTTTAAAATTTTCAGGGTTTAGATCTTTTAATCTGCTTTCAATAGTGTAGATTTCCAATTCATTTTTTTTATAAAGATCAGAAAACTGTAATTCTTTAATTTGTTTAAGAAAAGTTTTTAAATTTTGGTAATTGTTTCAATTTTCTTCTTTTTTCGCTTCACTTATGAGTTCATCTAGAGTATTTTTTTCTTTTTCATTAGCTCGCTTTTTCTTGATGTTGTTGATGACATTCGTCTTAATAAAATTAATTTCTTCTTCCTTAGAAGCATTATTAATGTCATTTTCTCAATTTTGATTGCTTTTTTCTAATTTTTCATTGTCTATTACTGGATCTTTCTCAAATGCCTCTTTTAAAATTGCTCTTATGGCTTCGTCTTTTTCCACTTTTAATGGGTCTGTTGGTGGTGGCAGATTTTCTCCTCCTTTTCAGGGTCGAGGGTTTCCTCACCTGTAGTCATCTATTCTTTCTATAAAGTCTTTCTTCACTCCTTTAATTTTATTGCTATTATCACATTCTTCAAATCTTCGCTTTCAATTTACTCCCAAAATTTTTTCTTGTTTTCTTGTTTTCGCATGTTTTTTTAATGCTTTTTCAATTTCTTCAATCGCACTGTTTATTTCTTTTTTTAAAAAGTCATTTCCTCGTTTAGAAGGTATTCATCCACTATCCACATCATTGCCATAACCCATGCTTGCTAGTTTTGTATAAAATAAAGGAAGATTAAGTGATGGTACTTCTTTCTTAAAATAACAGAGAAATAACTTCATTCTTAAAAATTGTGGTGCATCAATTCTTTCCTTGGGATTAGGCTCTATTCCTTTATAGCGTTGATTGATACCTTCATACCTTTCTCCAATTTTTTTGCCTTTTCTCATGTCATCTCCGTCAGTTATAATTTCTTTTTTTAAATCAGTTAATTTTTCCAATTTATTTCAAAAATTGGCACGATATTTTCTCAAATGCCCCCCCAGAATTAAATAATTGGCATATTTTATGCAGTTCTCAAACAGAGAATTATCATTTACAGAAACTTCGTTTACCTTTTCTTCCAAATGGTCTTGTTCTCAGGGTTCCAAAAGTTTGTCTCAATTTTCAAGGTTATGCAATTTATAAAGGTACTTTTTCTTTTGGGGATTTAATGTATTGTCTTTTTCTTTCTTTTCATGTAAGGATTTGATTCTTTTCTTTATGCTATTTAAAATATCATTGATTACCTCTTCCAAATTTTTGATAATGTTACCTCATTGTCCTTTCTCGGCACAAGCATTTAAAATTTTTTCTTCATATTCCTTATCTTCTCCAGTTTCAGTTAACAAAGAAAAATTATTAAATTTTTTCATTTCTTCGACCTTTTTTCTTTTTAATTGGTCGTTAGGATTGCTTGTCCCTTTAGCATCGGCCCTTTTGTGAATTTCTTGAACAATCTTGTTGTATACTTGTTCAACTTGATCGGCTGATTCAGGATCAGCAAATCTTTCAACAAGCGAAGAAAGTTTCATTTCGTAAACGCCATTAGATTTAATTATTTGCTCAATAGACAACAAATTACCCGAGATAGCACAGAATCGTGATGCATAACTATTGATTTGATCAAAAGTAGCAAGATGTCCCTGATTTTTTATCTTATTTTTTCAATCACGCAAATTTTGAGGTAAATAATTTTGGTCAACTTTTTTATTAAGTTCTTCTATGAGACGACCACGGAATTGTGGATTATTTATTTTGTCTAAACAGAGTGTTCCGTTTCTAAGTTCGTTGTCATAATTATTTCTATAGGTATTTAAAATGTCATAGGCGAGCCTTATTTCTTCAAGTTTTGCTTTACCTTCCGGGGTTCGTCCAGCGGGTCTATCGGGATGCCACTTTAAACCACTTTTTTTATAAGCAGTTTCGATTTCCTTTTTTTCAGCATTGCGTGAAACACCTAAAATTGCATAAAGATCTTTACCAAAAACATTTTGGTTGTCGATTTTTACTTCTATAATCGGTTTTTTTTCAAACCCTGAATATAATTTGTCAATTTTGATTTCTTTCACCATGAGTTGCTAGTATTTATATTTTGATTTCTCTTTGGATAATTTGCCTTTAATTCTTAATCCGAACCTCTCCTTTCTTATATATATATATATATATATTATTTTTACAGTTTTATTAATAATATAATTTTGTACAGTTTTAGTCTAACTTTTTTTAAGAAAAGAACATTGGATGAATAAAAACTGTGGATAACTAGCAATTAATAAGATCTTCCTAAATAAACTTTATTTTGAGTTACTGACTGGCAAAAAAAACATTTTAAAAGTTCAGCAATTTTTTCTTCTGAAGCGATGCACCGAATGCTGTATGAAGGCACTTTTTCTTTAATTTTATCTTCACATTTTAAATTATTACAAAAAGGGATTAAAAATAGTCCTTTTGTCCCTTCTTTAATTTTTCTTTCTAATTCAACAAAGCTTTCAACTGGATAAATATGACTATCGAGAAAATCGGCACTTTTTTGAAAAAGATTTTTTTTTAATTCTTTTCTTTCTTGTTCAATGACCTTGAAAATTTTTCCTTTCTTAATCCCTTCTTTATGAGATTTCACCATTTTTTCTTTTAGTTCTCCCTTAGTATTTTCTAAACCGAATGCTTCGACTAAATTTTCTACATGTTTTTCGAAAAAAAGAAGATATTTTTCCTCAACTTCAATATTTTTTTCAATACTAATTTCAATTTTTTTTTCTACGTTATCTCTCCTTACTAAGGTAATCTTTTTTTCTTTTAGTTCTTCTAGTCCTAAAATTATTTTAAATGGACAGCCTTCTTTATCAGCTTGTAAGGTATTTAAATTAACTTGGGAACTTCTATTATATAATTGACATCGATAGACAGGAGTTAACAGTTCGTTTATTTCTTGATAATAATTAATTAATTCTTTATTTTCTCCGATAAGGATAAAAGCGATCTGTACTGGAGCTACCTCAAAAGGCAAAATTAAGCCCCAGTTGTCAGCATGCGTTTTAGCAATGGCTCCAATGGCTCGAGTTGAGGTTCCTCATGAAGTGGAAAAAGGATGCTGTCGTTTATTGTCTTTTGTTTGAAATTCGACATTCATTAGACGGCAAAAATTATCCCCAAAATAATGGCTAGTAGCAAATTGCAGGCATTGTCCATCGGGTAGTAGGCATTCCACAGTGTAGGTCTCTATGGCTCCAGCGAACTTTTCTCCTTCGGACTTTTTACCGACTATTACTCCTAAATATAAGGTATTTTTCGCATAATCTTCATAAACTTTCAAGATATTTAAAGCAAAATCTCGAGCTTCTTCCTTGTTTTCATGAAGGGTATGGCCTTCCTGTCAAAGAAATTCGGTATTACGAAAAAAAGGAGCGGTATTTTTTTCTGCTCTAAAAACTGAACACCACTGATTATATAAAAGAGGCAATTGTCGGTAATTTTGGAGTATTTGTCGGTATCAATCATAGAACACTACTTCACTGGTAGGACGTAGAATTAGCGAATTTTCTATTCTCTTTTCACCAATTTTTTCAATGAAAAAACATTCAGGGCTAAATCCGGTCACATGTTCTTTTTCTTTTTTTAACAGGTCAAGGGGGATGAGGGCAGGAAATAAAACGTTTTGAACTCCTTTTTGGAAAAATTTTTTGTCTAGGATGTTTTGAATATTTTTTCACAAAGCATAGCCGCGAGGGGGCAAGATGAAACTTCCTTTGGTTGGTCCATAAGCAAATAATCCAGCTTCAATCAATAACCTACTATATTTATCTTCTTTTTCCATAATTAGGTAATTCAATTATTGTTTTCTAATTCTTTCCACAATTCCTCGTATTTACTTACAGGAATGGGTTTACACTCACTTTTTATTTCGGAGGGAATGTCATCTAAATCATTTTCATTTTTTTTGGGAATAAAAACTGCTTTATATTTTTTCCGATGAGCAGCATAAATTTTTTCTCGTAATCCACCAATTTCTCCAACAATTCCACTCAAATTAATTTCGCCGGTCATTCCAATATCCTTATTAATTTTTTTATCATTTAAAGCCGAAATAATGGCAGTGGTGAGAGCAATACCAGCACTCGAACCATCTTTGGGAATATCACCTTTTGGCATATTAATATGAATATCTTGATTTTTAAAAATGTTTTGATTAAGATTAAACTTCGTAGCAGCAGCAGCACTTTTAACGTAGGAAATTGCTATCTCGATTGATTCCTTCATGATTTTTTTTAAATTACCCGTAGTGATAATTTTTCCTTCGCCATTTGAAAAAATTTTTACTTCGATTGGTAAAACACTTCCCCCACCTATTTCTGGATTAAGAACACCCAATCCATTCACTACTCCGGGTTTATCATAATCAACTTCACTACTTAAATCAGGGACTGCGGGTTTTCCTAAATATTCTTGGACTTTTGCCGAAGTAATCTTTTCAGTGATTAAATCTCCTTGTGCTTTTTTTTTAGAAAATTCAGCGAAAATATTTTCAAGTTTCTTTTCCAAATTTCGTATTCCTGGCTCCCAAGTGTAATCTTTGATAATTTTTTTAATAGCTGGATCCTCAAAATCTAACTGTTCTTTGGTAAGGCGGTATTTATTCAATAATTTAGGAATTAAATATTCTTTGGCAATATGAAATTTCTCGCTTTCATTGTAGGGAGGTATTTCAATTATTTCCATTCTATCTAGTAAAGGTAAAGGTATTTTCTGTGCATCATTAGCAGTGCAAATAAACATTACTTGGGAAAGATCAATCGGTAGTTCAATATAATGATCGCGAAAATTTTCATTTTGTTCCGGGTCAAAAATTTCTAAAAAAGCGGCAGCAGGATCTCCATTATGTTCACTTTTACCCATGCTGTCAATTTCGTCAACTAAGATTACCGGATTTCTTTTTTTTGCTCGTTGGAGAGCCTGGACAATTATTCCTGGCTTAGCATGAACATAAGTAGAACGATGGCCACGAATTTCTCCTTCATCGTGAACACCCCCTAGGGAAGCCTTTGTAAATGGACGACCTAGTGCTTCAGCAATAGAACGAGCGATAGAGGATTTTCCTGTTCCTGGTGAACCGATTAAACAAATAACTTTACCAAGGTTTTTTCCAGCTTGTTTTTTAGCTCCCAAATAATTGATAATCAATTTTTTTACCTTCTTCAATCCAAAATGTCTTTCATTGAGTTTTTGTTCTACTTCGGTTAAATTATCATTTTCAGGACTAACTTGATGTCAAGGCAAAGACATTACTTGTTCTACATACTCTTCGCTAATTTCTTTAGTGTGACTATCAGAACGTTTCTGGATTTTTTTAATTTCTCCTTCTATTCTTTCTTTAACATAGTTTGGAAATGGTTCTCTCTGCAAACGAAGCAAATAATCATCCATTTTTGATTTGAAATTAAGACCAGAAGAATAATTACCCAAATACCTATTAATTTTACTGTTAAGGATGAAATTGCTAATGAATATGAATAAAGTGGTAAGAAAAAGACTACCAAAAATAAGGTAATAGAGATGATATTTTTCTCAATGGTCTTTTTTTATTTCATTGTCATTTGTATAATTCATAACTATTTTAATTTTTCGACTATTTGCTCTAAATTGTACTTCAATTTAGGTTTGGTAGTTCAAATAAATCCTTCTTCTTTTTTATATTTTGGAATAATATGAATGTGAAGATGAGGAATGCTTTGGTAAGCAATTTTTTTTTCTATATCTTCGTTCATATTACTAATAATATTAAATCCTTCTGGTTGCAAAATTGCCTTTAATTTTTTAATAACTTCTTTCATTAGAGGTAATAAATATTTTCAACTTTCCTCGTCAACTTCAGCAATGTGGGGAAAATGTTTTTTGGTAATAAGGAGAGTGTGGCCATCGCTTTCTGAAAATTTATCTAAAATGGCAATTGCTCCTTTATTTTCTGAGATAATAAACGAGGCTTCTTCTCGTTGGATAATTTTGCAAAATAAACAGTTTAATTTTGTTTGCATTATTCTTTTATGATTATTTAGTATTATAAGTAGTATTATAAGAAATTTTAAAGAGTTGGAGTGTATTAGAAAGGATTATTATCGCTACTTCGCGAATGCCTTTTTTTTTAATTTCTGCAATCTTTTCTAAGTTATGAGTTATGTACTGTGGATAATTAATTTTCCCTCGCCAAGGTTCAGGAGTTAAATAAGGAGCATCAGTTTCTACTACTATTCTTTCTAAGGGTGTTTTTTCTAATGCTTCGCCTCATTTTTCTTTCCATTTAGCATTTTTATAAGTAATGTTGCCCGCAAAAGAAATATAAAATCCTAAATCTATAAATTTTTGGGCTATTTCTCAGGTTCCAGTAAAGCAATGAAGAATGCCTTTTTCTATCTTTGCTTCTTTGGTTATTCTGTAGGCATCATTAAAAGCTTCGATAAATATTTCTTCATTTTCTTCTCCTCTAATATGCAAAAGAACTGGCAGATTATATTTTTTGGCTAATTCTAATTGCTTTTTGAATCAGTACCTTTGGGTTTCTCGATGCTTAGGATTTTTTTCTCAATAATAGTCTAAACCAATTTCGCCAATGGCAATAATTTTTTTGTTAACTAGTTGTTTTTCCATTAAAATTAGATTTTCTTCGCTAAAATCACTTTTACCGTCATTGGGGTGTAAACCAATTGCTCCAAATAGATTAGGGAATTGTTCTAATTGTTCAATTACTATTTGATTTGACTTTAGGTCATAACCAACATTAAGGATATATTTAACGCCTGATTTTTTGGCCATGTTAATAATCTGTTTAATATCATGATCGTGATATTTTTTATCAGCCAAGTGGCAATGGGTATCAAAAATGGATAAGTAATTCATTAGATAAGTTTTTTTTATGTTTTTCGGAAAGGTAATTTTAAAAGATCTTTTTCAAATTTTTCTGAAAAAGGTATTTCTAAACTTATTGATCTTATTCCTGAAATTTTTTTGACTATTTTAAGGTAGATTTTTAGTTTATTTTGTCAAAATTGAGGATTTTTTTCTGGTCATTCAATAATGTTTAAATTATTAACAGTTAACTCTTGAAAAATATCTAACCTATCATTAGCGTTTAAGCGAAAAAAATCAAAATGATTTAAGTAGTAATTGTCTTTTATTTGATGCCTTTGTAAAACATTAAAAGTTGGTGAAGTTACTTTTTCTTTGATCCCTATTTTTTTAGCGATTAGTTGAGTTAAAGTGGTTTTTCCTACTCCTAGTTCTCCTTCTAATAATAAAAAGGTATTGGGAGTTAGTCAAGAAGTCAAAAATTCAGCCAATTTTTGACATTCAGCGAGATTTTTTATTTGGCAATAATATTTGCTTATCATATTCACTTGCTAATAAATTAAAATTCGATAACATAAAAAAGCCGGTTGACTGCAAATTCATAATCTATTCTTTTAATATTGAATAACTACTCGCACGAAACTAGGTAAATTATTAGGCATTTGTTTGTTATATTTATCAAGGTTTGAAAAATATCTAACTTGTAAATAATGTTTATTTTTTCTTTAATGCGGCGGTTTCAAGGATTATTAGTAATTTAGTGAATTTTAAATTTAACTTTCTACTAGTAGCATAAAATTGTTAAAATAGGGAGGTGTGTCCGAGCGGTTGAAGGAGGTAGTCTTGAAAACTACTAATACGCAAGTATTCAAGGGTTCGAATCCCTTCGCCTCCTCCATGAAAAAATGCTAGAAAAGTTTTTAGGAATCACTGCTTTTATTACATTATTCATAACCCATGCTCGTTTTTCTAGAAAAATCATATTCGATACAATGCCTAAAATATTCAGTCATTGGTTTTCTACTTAACTCTTCTATCCCTTCATCTATAACAGATTTTAACTGTTCATAAGTTCTAGGTCGTTTATCCTCAACATAACCTCGAAGGAAATTAAAACATAATTCTACTGGGTTCAATTGAGGAGTATAAGGAACTAAATAAAGAGGGTCAATATTCATTTTAATAAATAAATCGAGAATAGGAAGTCGTTTTTCTTTCAAAAGAGCCTTAATTGCCTTATGAATTTTGGCATTGTCTAATAAGAGATAATATTTATCATCAGTAAGTAATTTTGATTTAACATCTAGGATAAAATCGTGAAACTCTACTGCTCTGGTTCCCTTACTGGTTACTTTCTTTTTCTCAACACTATTATCAATTAACTTATGGCTGATTATCGGTTGTTCTTCAGAGTTACGAACACAAAGCATTAGAGTATAACGTTTGGTATGCTTGCCTGGTCGGTTTGCAGTAGCACGTTCTCCTTTTCAATTGTAACCTCTCCGTGGTGCTTCGTTTAGATAGAAAGCACATTCATCCTCAGCCATTAGTTGAGATGAGGGTAAAGATTTAACATAATCAGTAAAGGGTTTTATATCCCCTAAAAATGCTTTTTGCTCATCAAAATAATAACTTATTACTTTCTTAGTGATACCATGCTTTTTATATAAGCGGGAGATAGTGGGTTGACTTACTTTTTTACCTATTTGTTCTGAGTATCATTTAGCTATTCATTCTTGGTTAAAAAGAGTGCTAAAAGCACCAACGCAAGATTCTAAATAAGCAAGGTTGCTACCGCTAATTTTAGCAGGTCTACCACCTTTGTTTTTCTCTTTGTTTTCTTCTTCTTTTTTCCACCTCCGAATAGTTCACTCACTTACATTGCAAAACTCTCTGATTTCTCGCCAAGAAAAGCCCTTGACTCTTAATTTTTGGATTTGTCAAGGAGCAAGTTTAGTGGTGAGTTTTTTAGACTTGTTCTCTATTTTCTTAAACTCTTCTTCTAAGGGTTTTTCGAATTTGATAGGTTCTTTGTGGTTCTTCTTATGTCGTATATGACTAAAATTAGAAAAGAATTTATCTTGTTTATTTTCCTCTAAATTAAGTCATAAAAAACCTGGTAAATCAGAAATATAATTGACTTTGTGATAACTGTAAAAATGGTCTTTTAAACCTGTTTGGGTATCAAAGAAAGTATATTTTCAAGTCTTTTGGTTTTGATGTTTTTCTACTCCGATAATTTTGGCAGAGGGAATATGTTGATTTTGCATTATTTTCTTTTCTTTCTAAGTGAGAAATAAGCAACTATTCCTACTATCGCCATTATTCCTACTCCGCCTAATATGTAAGGTAAATAATTAGTTGGTTGTTGATTATTGGTGTCTTGTTTTTGTAAATCAGTCAAAGTAAGAGAGTTTAAGCCTTGAACTTGGCAATAGTCTCTAATCTGTTGTAACTCAGGAGTAATTGTTGTTATAGTTTCTCTTTGAGAATTTTGGTATTCAATTACTAGATTATCATTCTCTAAGCGAATAGAGCGGATGTTGTGTCTTTGAAAATAAGCCAAAATGCTCTCTCTCTCTCTCTCTCTCTCTCTCTCTCTCTCTCTCTATCAGGATTATTGTTTTCTAATCTACTTATTTTATCTTCAGAATCCTCTCTTCCCATTTTTGCTACTCCCTTTACCTTTTCAGAAGTAAAAGAACAATTCTCTAAATGTTGAAAACAACATTTTTCTGTGCGTAACTGTCTTATTTCAAAATTATCGCCTGATACAATAGCTTTAGTAAGGTCTATATCTTTCCTACAATAGGAGCATCTATAAGGGCGTTGAGTTGATTTGGCTATTTTATAAGTGTTTACTTCATCTTCCCTTCGATAATCTTCTTGAGTTTTCTTTTGAATATTTATATTTCTAATCTCAAATCCGATTCGGTTATAACCAATTGTCTTAATATCGCCATCAGCACCTATCCTTTTTACTTTTTCTTGCTGAGCCCATTTGAATAATTCAGTTAGAAAGTCATTATCTTCGTTTCTTTTAATTTCTTTGATTAAACTCAACCATTCTCTGTCAATTCCACAAAAACCATAGTTAGTGATGTTAACAAAATTATCATGAGGTAATTCTTCTCCTTGATGAAGTGGTGAATAACTTTCATCACTAAATAAAGGAGTATGTCAGATTTCTCGCTGACCTTTAGGAGAGAAAATTACTGTTTTGTAAAAATTTTCTTTCATTCATTGCTTAATTGATTCTTTGGTGATTATTGTTGACATATTTTTTTTGGTTTATTTTGTTTAATTTTGCATAGTTTCTCAGTTTCACATAATACTTTCAGTGCTTTCGTTTAATCAATCTATCATACCAAAAAGAACTGGAGAGTTGGTATTATCTGAATTGTAATATTCATTTATGAATTCTTTAACCATTGGTGATAATTCTCCTTTAAACGGATTTTCTCGGTAATGTTTAATTAAGTATCCTACATAAGAATGAGCAGTAAGCAAACACTGCTTGTGATATTTTTTGCCTCCATTCCCTCAACTTTTTATCGATTCATTTTTTTGTTTCTTACAAAGTGAACACTCACTAATATTGTTATGGATTTCCATAACTCATTTTACTAATTAACTCATGCGTTCGCTAATGAGTAAAGAAAAAGAATTAAATTTTTTGACTTGCTAAGTAAACACGAAACAAGTCGCGTTTCTTAGAGCTTTTTACTGCTTTTCAGTAGTTTTCTTTATCATAGAAAATTTTTCTGAGACAAGAACTACACCACTCTTGGTCTTCGTTTTTTTCATCTTTTGTTCAATACCCCCAGTTGTGGGTTTTGCTCCAGTTTTGTTTCGAAATAACGAATTTAATAAAAAATTCAGTCTTTTTGCAATTCGAGCAGATAACTCTCTTCGGTTCCAAAAGACCATTTTTACCTTCTAGTTTAGTTTCTTTTTTCTTAATTTTTCCTTTCATAAATTTTTACAAAAAACGAGCATGGGTTATGAATAATGTAATATTTTAGTTCCTGTTATTGTTGTGTATTTTACCGGAAAACCAACTAAGAAGTTTGTTTATGATTGAAAAGAAATCTTAAAATTAGTTATTTTTGCTTATTTGTGAAGTTTTACTAACATTTTTATTCATGAGTGTGGTCATGCTCTAACTGCTCGTTTTTTTGGTGTTGTGGCCGATAAAATAAATATTGGTATCGGTTGAAAATTATTTAGTATAGGCGGAGGAGAATATACAAAAATAACTTTTCAAATTCTTCCTGTTTATGGCTATACAAGAGTAGAAATGGGAAATAAAAGCCAAGAAATAATTATGGGGATAATGTATAATTTTACACCAAACCAAAAAAACATGAATAAAGAAGTCAAAGAAAAATTATTAGAGTTAAAAAAGGAGAAATTAGTAAAAACGCTGCGAAAATTCTTTGTCGAAAAGAAAATTAAGAGGGCTATAAACAATCCTAATAGCCAATATCGCAGTATTTATCTTAGTTATAATAACTGGAGAAAGAAGAATCAAAAAGATTTCCCTTCACCTCGGCTTCTCTGAAAGGAAAGAGATTTTCAAGAGAAGAAAAGCAAAATACTAAATGGAAAGTAAGTTCTTTAAATTGGGGCAAATAGGAAGAGGATTATTTTTTTGTTTCTCAAAAAGTATATTCGGATATACTAAAATATACATAATATTATGTCTAATCAAACAAACTGTTTTAAGTGCCATGCAACCAATGTAAATTTAACTACCGATATTGATGATAATCTTTATTGTAGCCCTTGTCTAAGAGAGAGAGAGAGAGAGAGAGAGAGCAAAGGTAAAGTATGACTATGAATAATTGCCGGTATTGCGGCAGTTAGTGTAATAGGTTTAGGTGTTTATTTTGCTACTAAAAGTCAAAGTAGTAATAAAAGTCCTAATCCTCAGGTTCAATATCTCCCTAATGAAGAAGAATTTCAAGCCAAAGTTGACCAACTAAAAAATGAAAAAGGAATTGATGACCAACAAGCAGCCATAGAAGTATTAACTGCTTATGTTCCTTACATTAACTGATGAGAAATTAATTCTTTATCAGAATTAGATGAAAAGATAAATTTAGTAAATAGTAAAACTAAGTTCCCGCCCTTTAGTAATATCCCAGATTTTACTAAGTTTAATAAGGAATTAGGAGAAAATATGATGCACAAAATTTTGCTAGTGATGGCTTCGATGGTGCCACGGAAAGCTGATAATACTCCCGATTGAAAAGGATATAAAGACTTCATGACTTATTTAACTACTATTCTAATTCCTCAGTGAGAAAGTATGAGTTATAAACCTACTTTTGCTACTTCGGATAATTATTATGAATTACTAAGTAAAATGACTAATCAAGTTAATGGTTCTGTTGTTTCATTGTCTCAAGAATTTGCTAATTTAACTACTGTCAAACAACTTAACAAATTTGTTAATAATTATTTAGAAGAAATACTTCGAGGAGCAATTTATGCTGATATGCATGATAGATTTGCTAAACAATTAAGTATTACTACTCATAAAAAGTATGATTTTGTGCCTTCTGATTCAACTATTACTAATTCTTCCTTAAATATTTGATTAAAACCAAATATACTTAAAATGGAGGGTAGTTATTAATCCAAACAATCTAAACTTTGGGCATACTGATCAATATGTCTCCTTAATTCTTCCTTGGTGACAAATTTATTGCCTACTGCACGGGCAAAAGTTTTCATGGCCATCGGTCAACCACTTCAATTACAACTGGCAATATCGCCCCGATGTAAATTAAATTAGTCAACTTCTTAAATTTCCTCAACCACTTAAAGTAGGATTTTGGGTTCCGGCTCTAGTTTCCGAATCCATTCACGGATAATCTAAACAAG